CATTGCCAACAAACCTGGAGTGCTTGGGTATGGTTAGGAGGGCACTGGCTTTTCTAGGCTGCCCTATCCATGTTTCCTGGGAAAATTCATAGGAAAATCCCATTGGAGGAAAATTCCACTTAGGGTTAGGGCTAGGTCACCATGAACTCGGAGAGCAAATTAGAATTCGGGAACAAACCCAGAGTGTTTGGGTATAGTTAGGAGGGCACTCGTTTTTCTAGGCTGCCCTATCTATGTTTCCTGGGAAAATTCATTGGAAAATCCCATTGGAGGAAAATTCCACTTAGGGTTATTGTTAGGTCAGTATGAACTGATACAGCAAAATGGACATTGCCAACAAACCTGGAGTGCTTGGGTATGGTTAGGAGGGCACTGGCTTTTCTAGGCTGCCCTATCCATGTTTCCTGGGAAAATTCATTGGAAAATCCCATTGGAGGAAAATTCCACTTAGGGTTAGGGTTCGGTTACTATGAATCTGGAAAGCAAAATGGACATTGCCAACAAACTCGGAGTGCTTGGGCATGGTTAGGAGGGGACTGGCTTTTGTAGGCTGCCCTATCCATGTTTCCTGGGAAAATTCATGGGAAAATCCCATTGGAGGAAAATTCCACTTAGGGTTAGTATTATGTCACTATGAACTGATACAGCAAAATGGACATTGCCAACAAACCTGTAGTGCTTGGGTATGGTTAGGAGGGCACTGGCTTTTCTAGGCTGCCCTATCCATGTTTCCTGGGAAAATTCATGGGAAAATCCCATTGGAGGAAAATTCCACTTAGGGTTAGGGTTGGGTCACCATGAACTGGGAGAGCAAATTAGATTTCAGGAACAAACTCATAGTGTTTGGGTATAGTTAGGAGAGCACTGTTTTTTCTAGGCTGCCCTATCTAGGTTTCCTGGGAAAATTCATGGGAAAATCCCATTGGAGGAAAATTCCACTTAGGGTTATTGTTAGGTCACCATGAACCCGGAGAGCAAAATGGACGTTGCCAACAAACCCGGAGTACTTGGGTATGGTTAGGAGGGAACTGGCTTTTCTAGGCTGCCCTATCCATGTTTCCAGGGAAAATTCATGGGAAAATCCCATTGGAGGAAAATTCCACTTAGGGTTAGGGCTAGGTCACCATGAACTCGGAGAGCAAATTAGAATTCGGGAAGAAACTCAGAGTGTTTGGGTATAGTTAGGAGGGCACTCGTTTTTCTAGGCTGCCCTATCTATGTTTCCTGGGAAAATTCATTGGAAAATCCCATTGGAGGAAAATTCCACTTAGGGTTAGGGTTAGGTTACTATGAATCTGGATAGCAAAATGGACATTGCCAACAAACTCGGAGTGTTTGGGTATAGTTAGGAGGGCACTGGTTTTTCTAGGCTGCCCTATCTATGTTTCCTAGGAAAATTCATGGGAAAATCCCATTGGAGGAAAATTCCACTTAGGGTTAGGGCTAGGTTACTATGAATCTGGAAAGCAAAATGGACATTGCCAACAAACTCGGAGTGCTTGGGCATGGTTAGGAGGGGACTGGCTTTTGTAGGCTGCCCTATGTATGTTTCCTGGTAAAATACATGGGAGAATCCCATTGGAGGAAAATTCCACTTAGGGTTATTGTTAGGTCACCATGAACCCGGAGAGCAAAATGGACGTTGCCAACAAACCCGGAGTGCTTGGGTATGGTTAGGAGGGCACTGGCTTTTCTAGGCTGCCCTATCCATGTTTCCAGGGAAAATTCATGGGAAAATCCCATTGGAGGAAAATTCCACTTAGGGTTAGGGTTATGTCACTATGAACTGATACAGCAAAATGGACATTGCCAACAAACCTGGAGTGCTTGGGTATGGTTAGGAGGGCACTGGCTTTTCTAGGCTGCCCTATCCATGTTTCCTGGGAAAATTCATGGGAAAATCCCATTGGAGGAAAATTCCACTTAGGGTTAGGGTTAGGTCACCATGAACTGGGAGAGTGAATTAGATTTCAGGAACAAACTCAGAGTGTTTGGGTATAGTTAGGAGAGCACTGGTTTTTCTAGGCTGCCCTATCTAGGTTTCATGGGAAAATTCATGGGAAAATCCCATTGGAGGAAAATTCCACTTAGGGTTATTGTTAGGTCACCATGAACCTGGAGAGCAAAATGGACGTTGCCAACAAACCCGGAGTGCTTGGGTATGGTTAGGAGGGCACTGGCTTTTCTAGACTGCCCTATCCATGTTTCCTGGGAAAATTCATGGGAAAATCCCATTGGAGGAAAATTCCACTTAGGGTTAGTATTATGTCACTATGAACTGATACAGCAAAATGGACATTGCCAACAAACCTGGAGTGCTTGGGTATGGTTAGGAGGGCACTGGCTTTTCTAGGCTGCCCTATCCATGTTTCCTGGGAAAATTCATGGGAAAATCCCATTGGAGGAAAATTCCACTTAGGGTTAGGGTTGGGTCACCATGAACTGGGAGAGCAAATTAGATTTCAGGAACAAACTCATAGTGTTTGGGTATAGTTAGGAGAGCACTGTTTTTTCTAGGCTGCCCTATCTAGGTTTCCTGGGAAAATTCATGAGAAAATCCCATTGGAGGAAAATTCCACTTAGGGTTATTGTTAGGTCACCATGAACCCGGAGAGCAAAATGGACGTTGCCAACAAACCCGGAGTGCTTGGGTATGGTTAGGAGGGAACTGGCTTTTCTAGGCTGCCCTATCCATGTTTCCAGGGAAAATTCATGGGAAAATCCCATTGGAGGAAAATTCCACTTAGGGTTAGGGATAGGTCACCATGAACTCAGAGAGCAAAATGAACATCGCCAACAAACTCGGAGTGCTTGGGTATGGTTAGGAGGGGACTGGCTTTTCTAGGCTGCCCTATCCATGTTTCCTGGTAAAATTCATGGGAAAATCCCATTGGAGGAAAATTCCACTTAGGGTTAGGGTTATGTCACTATGAACTGATACAGCAAAATGGACATTGCCACCAAACCTGGAGTGCTTGGGTATGGTTAGGAGGCGACTGGCTTTTCTAGGCTGCCCTATCCATGTTTCCTGGGAAAATTCATGGGAAAATCCCATTGGAGGAAAATTCCACTTAGGGTTAGGGCTAGGTCACCATGAACTCGGAGAGCAAATTAGATTTCGGGAACAAACTCAGAGTGTTTGGGTATAGTTAGGAGGGCACTGGTTTTTCTAGGCTGCCCTATCTATGTTTCCTGGGAAAATTCATGGGAAAATCCCATTGGAGGAAAATTCCACTTAGGGTTAGGGTTAGGTTACTATGAATCTGGAAAGCAAAATGGACATTGCCAACAAACTCGGAGTGCTTGGGCATGGTTAGGAGGGGACTGGCTTTTGTAGGCTGCCCTATCTATGTTTCCTGGTAAAATACATGGGAGAATCCCATTGGAGGAAAATTCCACTTAGGGTTATTGTTAGGTCACCATGAACCCGGAGAGCAAAATGGACGTTGCCAACAAACCCGGAGTGCTTGGGTATGGTTAGGAGGGCACTGGCTTTTCTAGGCTGCCCTATCCATGTTTCCAGGGAAAATTCATGGGAAAATCCCATTGGAGGAAAATTCCACTTAGGGTTAGGGTTAGGCCACCATGAACTCAGAGAGCAAAATGAACATCGCCAAAAAACTCGGAGTGCTTGGGTATGGTTAGGAGGGGACTGGCTTTTCTAGGCTGCCCTATCCATGTTTCCTGGTAAAATACATGGGAGAATCCCATTGGAGGAAAATTCCACTTAGGGTTAGGGTTATGTCACTATGAACTTATACAGCAAAATGGACATTGCCAACAAACCTGGAGTGCTTGGGTATCGTTAGGAGGGCACTGGCTTTTTGTAGGCTGCCCTATGTACTTTTTCTTGTAAAATACATGGGAAAATCCCATTGGAGGAAAATTCCACTTAGGGTTAGGGTTAGGTTACTATGAACTTGGAAAGCAAAATGGACACCACCAACAAACTCAGAGTGCTTGGGTATGGTTAGGAGGCAACTGGCTTTTCTAGGCTGCCCTATGTACTTTTTCTTGTAAAATACATGGGAAAATCCCATTGGAGGAAAATTCCAGTTAGGATTAGAGTTAGGTCACCATGAACTCAGAGAGCAAAATGAACATTGCCAACAAACCCAGAGTGCTTGAGTATAGTTAGGAGCGCACTGGCTTTTGTAGGCTGCCCTATCTATGTTTCCTGGTAAAATACATGGGAGAATCCCATTGGAGGAAAATTCCACTTAGGGCTAGGGTTAGGTCACCATGAACTCGGAGAGCAAAATGGACGTTGCCAACAAACTCGGAGTGCTTGGGTATGGTTAGGAGAGGACTGGAGTTTGTAGGCTGCCCTATCTATGTTTCCTGGTAAAATACATGGGATAATCTCATTGGAGGAAAATTCCATTTAGGGTTAGGGTTAGGTCACCATGAACTCGGAGAGCAAAGTGGACATCGCCAACAAACCCGGAGTGCTTGGGTATGGTTAGGAGGGCACTGGCTTTTCTAGGCTGCCTATCCATGTTTCCTGGGAAAATTCATGGGAAAATCCCGTTGGAGGAAAATTCCACTTAGGGTTAGGTAACTATGAACTTGGATAGCAAAATGGACACCACCAACAAATAGAGTGCTTGGGTATGGTTAGGAGGCGACTGGCTTTTCTAGGCTGCCCTATGTACTTTTTCTTGTAAAATACATGGGAAAATCCCATTGGAGGAAAATTCCACTTAGGGTTAGGGTTAGGTCACCATGAACCCGGAGAGCAAAATGGACATTGCGAACAAACTCAGAGTGCTTGAGTATGGTTAGGAGGGCACTGAGTTTTCTAGGTAGCCCTATCTATGTGTTCTGGTAAAATATATGGGAAAATCCCATTGAAGGAAAATTCCACTTAGGGTTAGGGTTAGGTCACCATGAACCCGGAGAGGAAAATGGACATCGCGAAGAAACATAGAGTGCTTGGGTAAAGTTAGCAGGGCACTGACCTTTCTAGCTTGTCCTATCTGAAAGAATTCCTGAAGCCATAGAGTTTCCCATACTTTATTTAAACAGGTATTTCTTGACTTAGAATTGCCTTAGTGACAATTCAGAGTTGCAACAGTGCACCCAAAAGGCATTTACAACATGGTTCCAAAATTCTGATGACTGTCCACTCCCTTTTGGTCATATAACTGCATTTTGAGCACTTGGAAACAGTTATGGCCATTTGCAGTGTCCTGCACTCACATGACCGTGATTTTCCATCTTTTTGCTGAAAACCGGCATTTGCTTCCAGGTTTTGGCTAAACTGCCCCATAGCTTTTGCTTCATGACTGTGGATTTGCTTAATGACTGCCGCAAAAAAAAAGATCATAAATTTGGTTTAGTTACGTGGCGGATGTGCTTTTCAACCATCATAACTTACAAGTATAATGGACGGGCTCCATTATTATAAGTTGAGGACTACCTGTATATTTATCATAGTGATTCATTAATAAAGCAGGATCAGTTATACAAAGGATAAAACAGTGAAGGAAGGCCATTTGCAACAAAGTAGGCAAACTGCCTGAAGAACTCTCTTGTTGAAATCTGTTTGGTTACGTTAAGATACAGGATTGCAGAATTTCTAAAATTTTGAATTTTACTCCAAACAAGATACTTTACCTGTCTCAACTGAGAAAGAACAGTTCTCACTGACTCCAGTAGTAGATGCAGATTCTCCTTCAGAGCAGCATAATTCTCCGTTTTGTTTCTGACATGTGTAGAAGTCTACACAAGGAAAAACAAAATTCTTAGGCTTTTAAAAAAGAAAATGTGCAGTTGACTTGGGCAATTGGCTTGGGCAATAGTTAGGAAATATGCATAGGTGTTGTTGAATGTGCAGTTGACTTGGGCAATAGTTAGGAAATATGCATAGGTGTTGTTGAATGTGCAGTTGACTTGGGCAATAGTTAGGAAATATGCATAGGTGTTGTTGAATGTGCAGTTGACTTGGGCAATAGTTAGGAAATATGCATAGGTGTTGTTGAATGTGCAGTTGACTTGGGCAATAGTTAGGAAATATGCATAGGTGTTGTTGAATGTGCAGTTGACTTGGGCAATAGTTAGGAAATATGCATAGGTCAAAATACATTCAAAATCATCAGTAAATACATACATTCATTCTCATACATCATTCTCTTTGTCATCCCTGGCTAGTCTTTCTCCATACTGAGAATTGCTAGAAATTGTATTGAACTCCCACACAGCAAGACTGTGAAACCCATCATGCAGCAGATGTGGTTAAAACATAATGATTCACATCTCTTCACTGCTGGCTGGAGATGTAGAGCAGTATGGATTCAATGGGGGAAAGGTGTTTCAGAGCATATAGGAGTGCTCGGGCAGCTCCTGTTGCAAATTCTTCAAGCAGCTGTGCATTTTCCCTGAGGTTGCACAGATGGCTATCATGGCTTGGTACGTGATCCAGGTAAAATCTGGGTTAAACAGTTGCAAACAGATGCTACAAGTCCTTTGAAGCCCTTTCCTCTTTTGGGTCAGGCCTTCCATAGCCCAAATCTGGAAGGCCATCTTAACCCTAAGTCTGCCCTGTGTCTCTTCGATCAGCATAATGTACTCAGTCTCAATTTTGAGATGTCCATTCCTAGTTGCATCTCTATTCCTCACTTTAATCTGAAGGACTCTACCTCATCTCACAGGTAGCAAGACAAGGTACTTGTGTCCCCATTACAAATCAGCAAATTAGAGACCTTAGTCTTTCCTCTTTCAACAAATGGTAAGAACCACAAGCAAGTCAGGTTTGCCTGTTCCTAAAACTAAGTTACAGATGTTCATTGTACCTCTTTCCAAGGGAGAATCTGTTTCAGAATGAGAGACAGTGGGGGAAGGTTTATAATGTTGATTCACTTCCCTTTCGGGTTCTTCTACTTGATGTTGAAATTGCTGGTTTAGAACCTCATAATTCATCCCTGCGATCCCAGATCGGTTCATACACATGAGTGACACACCCGAGAACAATATGCTGATCGTTACGATTACTGCAGTAGTAATCACCTGTCCAAAAGAGAAACCGAAAGGAGGAAGTTAGGCAGAAGTTAAACGATTATCATTATGATTCATTGCACAGTCAACCAGATGTTTAAACTGGATTTGGAATTTTTATCCACCTATCAAGTCCTTCCCACAGACCTGGGATAGGCAGATGTTTATGTTTAATGGTGGTAAAAGTATCGTTGCAGGATATAAGCAGTTCCGAGTGAAGCTGCCTTTTGCAATTGACTGATGGGGAATTTGTCAATGCCGAAGGTGTTCAAGTGGTGCTCCAGTTGTTTTGGGATTACACTCAAAGTACCCATGACTATTGTTACTACCTTTGCTTTCTTTTGCTGCAGTCTAAGAGAAGCCAGACTCTTAGAGTTCTTCAAATTTTGGGCAGTAGGTATATAGTCAATTAATTTAATGCCCCCCCTTTCCAAAGCTACTTCTCTTTATCAAATAATGAGCTTTTGAAAGCTCATTAAGCACTGATCAACAAGTGGTAATAAAAGACTTTCCCTACCTGATGTTTACCATAAAAAAATGCTGAGTCAATTTCACCAGTGTGTTTTCCAGCTATCAGAAGAATTCCAACAATAACTACTGGGATGCTGCAAAATGTAAAATACAATATAAATCATACATAGAATTAGTTTGTGACATCCTATAAATTTTCTTAGAGATGAACTTTTGCAAACTTACCCCCAGCCAGCTATAGTAATAATTCCAACAGGAATCTTTAGGGTTTCCCTTCGTTTCAAAAGGAGAAGAGAAAGGGCTAAAAGGCCTGTTGAAAACAAGGAGCACATCTCAGTCTTATTCTTTTCAGGAAACGATATTTCCCCCACGAAAAGAGGATAGCCCTCCCTCCCCTTCTCTGTCCTGTACTCAGAGGCAGCCACACAACAAGCCTGCTGAAACTTATAAGCAATAAAATTAGCTTGTGGGAACATAAGAACATGTCTATCATGCAAATCAAAAGCAATATTTCATTATAGGGATGTCACAATCGGTATGCCCGTATGTCATGACAAGAGTCAATCACTATGAACGGAAGAACAATTGGGAGAATTCTATTTTAAATGGAAAATAATTTCTAGGATCAATGTGATATGTAATGTTAATTTCTGCAATCATATCTGTGTAGCTCTTGCAAGTGTTCTAATCAAGTAAACATTTATTCCGAATTGCAAAATATAGAGTATGGGGAAATAAGTAACAACTGTTTTCAGACTTTGGGGAAATACTGACCACAACTTTGCTTATTAGAGCTGACATGAGGTTTGGGGTTGCAGGTTTGAGCTCTAAGTAACATACAAGATAAAATTGCTTTTTAAATGCATATCCGATCACCAGCCAGCTGGTTGTGAACGTTACAAAAGACAGGCTGTACTGAAGGAAATGGGCCCATGGGAAATCTATAACTCTGATCATATTCATTTCCAGTCCTTTTATCAACTGGAAGTTACTCCCAAGGTGATTCCTTCTATTAGGATGGTTAAATGTTTCATTTCTTCTCCATGACACCTGCCTTCCCTTGATCATCACTTAAGTCCCATTCCCTCAGTGCAAAGGGGGACATCCCTGATCAACTAGGATTGTGGGTTATACTTATCCAAGCATAATCCTTCAAGCAAATTTTTATACTACATCCAATGGACTTCTAATCATGTAGTGGCAACCTCCTTGATTTTTCCCCCCCTCCTGCACTTCTGTAAAGGAACGAACAGGAACAGTTACCAAGACAAGACTCAGATAAAAGAAACCCAAGTCCGGAACAGAACTACAGTCTAAGACAGCCTCTCAGACAAGACTTTCACTAGTTTTTACAAAAATAAAGAGATGGAGCCAAAGGGCATTTATACTTCCAAGATTCTGTTACTATTACTCAATAATAAAAGTAGTGTTAGCCTGCGTGGACTTTGGTTTCCTAGTGTGGTCTACCATGAAGGATTAAAAAAAGTATCTCACGGTCCAATAATCTATTTGCAGACTTTCATGGGAGATTTTAGGAATGGACATGAAGGTTGAAGCTGACTCAATAGTGGCTGTTTAATTGGTAAAGAGACTAACTGGATGTAAACTGGTATTAAAGCTTATGCTTCAGGTACATCGTATAATCTCTAAGCATTGTCCCTTTAGCATTACATCATGGGTGTCAAATTCGATCATGTCACGTGATGTATCGTGACTTTTTTGCCTTTGCGGAGCCAGGGTGGGCATGGCTTGCATGCGACGCATCCGGCCCGTGGGCTGCCAGTTTGATACTCCTGCATTACACTATCAAAGAAAACATATATTGTTTTATAGGCCAGAAATGACTTTCTACTTACCTGTCCACAGAAAAGAACTATACAGGGAACAGTACAGGACAACGAACACAAGAATCTGCACAAAGATGCTTTTGTTCTCAATAGTGAAATTCCACATTACCATTCCAATACAGGCTACACACTAAAAAAAATCAAAGCAGTTATGTTTAGTGTATATTTTATGACTGAGATGTAACCAAAGAAATCCTAATTAAAATCTCTTGTACAGTAAAATGACTAACTCTGCAAGATTTTAGAAGAGGCAGAGCATGACAAACCTTTCAAACAGCATGGCATCATCTACTGCAGGCAGACCCTTGTCAAATCTTATCATTGTCAATCATTTGAAAGCCCTCTGGTTTTCAGGAAAAAAATATTGATATTGTTCAAAATTGAAGCGAGAATAAAGCCCACTTTATTTAAATGAAATAAAGCCAATAAAGATTTCATTCTTTCTTCTTATTATTTTTTTTAAAAAATATAGGGATTCCACAGATACTTTCTCACAATGCTGCATGTGTTTTGGAGTCTTCAGTTTCCATATCAGCATTGTATTGTATAACTTGCTTCTCTATTTTGAAAAAACAATAGTCCATACTGTTAAAAACAAAACTCCTTTCTCAATTAGCACTAAAATACCAAAAAAGAAAAAGCTTAAATTTTTAGACATGAAAATGTTGCATTTTCAGTCAAGGATAACTGGCAGTAATACGAAAAAAGCAAAGTACAGTGAACACAATCTAATTGGAATGGACATTCCCCATTGGCTCTTTTGTGCTGCATCAGGTTTTTCCTGATTTGATTCTCCAACTGCAGTCTGTAACCTATGCTTTGTAAGGAACACTCTGTGTGCAGGGGGTGGGGGTAGGGAATTTCCATTAATCTAGACCAGGCATGTCAAACTCGTGACATCACGTATCGCAACTTTTTCCCCATTGCCGGCAATGGGGTGAGCGCGGTTTCAGTATGATGCATCTGGCCCATGGGCCAGCAGTTTGACATGCCTGATCTAGACTCTGAACTTACATTACAGGAGAGTCATTATCAGGTACCGGTATTATACTTATATGTAGCTTTATTCACAATGTTTCTATAGCAGCTTTTTTTAAAAAAACACCAAAGTGGTGTCACACATTCTTCCATCATGCACCCAATATAAAACACATATAATTCAAAGGCAATAACAAAGTCAAAACCTGCTTGAGCGGAGTTCTTGCATTATATACCTTCTGTTAAAAAAAAAAAAAAGAATACCGTCTGCAAACTACAAAACAACCATTCCTGGAAAAAAATGTTTATAGAGATATAATTCTCATTTCACTGACCTGAGCAATGAGTAAGTTAGTTGTAAGCATATGGGGAAGCTGCTTGTATTTTTTACTCAAAAGAATAACCCCGAGGGACCAGATCTGAAACACAGAGCGAACATAATGTGAGGCTTTCACTTCTCCGAAATAATGATAAAATATTCCACTCAGATTTTTATTTCAATGACATTCAAATAGTTTGTACAATTACTGCTAAGGGACTTTCCTTGCCATTACTGATATTTCCATAATGAGCTCTGGTAGCCTTAAAACAGCTGAAAATCAGTCTCCTCTTTATGTTGGCATTCTCATTTTTTCTAAGCTAGCTAATTATCAAACTCTTTTAAAATGAAGACTCTCTACTACCTCCAGAGTTTCACAGCCCTAGCCCTTCATCTCTGTGAGAACACTTCCACTAGCCCAGGGGTAGACAACCTTGGCTCTTTTATGACTCGTGGACTTTAACTTCCAGAATTCCTGAGCCAGCCATGCTGAGGAGAAATGGAGAGGTTTCCATGCTGAGCCATGTTGGCTCAGGAATTCTGGGAGTTGAAGTCCACGAGTCATAAAAGAGCTGAGGTTTGCCTACTCCTGTACTAGCCTGATAAAGAGGTCAAGGTTTTAAAATTCACTCCCAGACAATAATCTTCACCCCCAGACTAAAAACCCTAAGAGGAAAAAAGAAGTAAGGAAGCAGAGTACAATAAACAGTGACTTCTCTATCTTCCCTTAGCCAAATAAGCTTCTTACTTAATAATCTGGACATGTTTGTTTTTTACCCATTTGTGAAATAGCAAACAACTTGTTCTTTAGCAAGACAAGGGTCTGTTTAACTGGCAAAGGATCTGAGTGGAACTGACCTTATTCTATTACAAAACACAAGATTCCCCCCCCCCCCAAAAGAAAAGGAAGTCTGGAATCTTGCAGACTCATTTGTTGAGCTGTTGGTCACATTATACAGAAGACCAGAACATTTGTGGGTGCACAAGATGGGCTTCTTGAAAAAAGTAGCTGAACAGAAAAGGAAAAAAAAAACACCTCCATTTTCTCTTTTTAAGCTTCTGCTTTTGTTGGCTTCTAGCCAAGATGCCTTGTCACATTCAATAATGAGGTTTTTTTTCTTTCTCAATAAAGACCAGGATGATACATAACAGAAATGCGTCATGAATGGTATGACGATTATAAAAAAAAAACCAAAATGTAATAATTTATCATCACAATTAGTTTTCTTGGTATTCTTTAAAGTCTTATATTTTACTTATTTCACTGACTTATATTTCATTTCACAAGGAGTTCAAGACAATATATACTGCATTCCCTGCTGTTCCCCCCACCCCAACAATAATCCTGTGAAGTAGCTCAGCCTGAATGAGAGAGAACGATTGGTTCAAAGTCAACCAATGAGCTTCTGAGGCCAAAGGTTGACAGAATCCGAATCTCCCTTCTCCTTTTCTGACACATTAATCCTCATATCTGTAAAGAAATATATTTGTGCCCTTTGGAAAGAAGAGGGAGAGGGGAAAATGTTTGCAAAGTAGAAAGTGTTAGAAAGAGATTCAGAACAGTTGCAGCTTCATTTTATTGCTCTGAAAAAAAGGACCATGAAGGTTTTGGACAGGCTTGCAAGATTCTGTGAATGTATCCTATAAGCCAGCGGTTCTCAACCTATGGGTCACGACCCCATTTGGGGTCGATCGACCATTTCTCGGGGGTCGCCAAAGAAGGCGATCCGCCATTTTCCCCTCTCAGGGGGCGCCACCGCGCATGGGGGCCGCGCATGGGGGCCGCGCATGCGCGCCGCGCATGGGGGCCGCGCATGCACGCCGCGCCGCGCGTGCACGGCACGTTTGTGTGACGGGGGTCGCCGTCACACAAACGTTGAGAACCACTGCTATAAGCGATAAGATTTGATTCTTGCCATGACTGTTCTTTGACCTGGCTAACTTAAAGGGCTGACAACATAATTGGGATAGATAGTTCCTATTATTCTGCTTCTCTTCAGGCAACAGACTAAAATAGAAACCAGTGACACAATTCTGTTACTGTACGTATTTACAAATAATTTAATCCAAACTGCATCTCTGATGCACAATGAATCAATTTGCTCCATTTATGCCCAGGATATGTCCAAATTATCCCCAGTTTAAGAACTACTGCTATAGAACGTATTTTAAATAGGACTATTAACACCAATTCTTTCTTTCTTTTCCTCCGCATCTTTTGAACACAAAACAGCACAGTTCCGATTAACATGATACTCACCAACGAGACCAGACTAACAATGCTGATATCAAAGCTAACGTTCTGAATTGCTGCTGCCAGTCTGTCTGCATCCATAGAGGGAATGGTCAATAGCCACGCCGAAACATACATGATGGGGGCAGACACAAAAGTACTGACCACCATTCCAGAAGTTATCTGCAATCACAAATCAAAGTAACTGCACATTTCCATATTTTTTTTTACATGCCCAACAAAGGAGTCTATTTTCTGTAAATCTGTTTATTCTCTGTACCAGCTTCCTTCTTTGGGAGTTACTACAGAGGTAAGCATGTTAGCCTGAAAAATAAAACCAATATTGCACAGGTTGATTACAAAGGCATTTTTATTCTCCCATTTATTTCACTGGGATAGTATCTTTACAGGTAGTTCTTGACTTACAATCACAACTGGGATTAGAATTTCCATTGCCAAGTTAGGCAGTTAAATGAGTTTACCCAATTTTATGACATTTTCACCATAGTTGTTAAGTGACTCCCTATGGTTCTTAAGTGACTCACAGTCATTAAGCGAATCCAACTTCCCTCATTGACTTTGCTTGTCACAAGCCAGCTGCAAGTGCAAGGACCAATAAGTCCCTTTTTTTAGTAGTGTTGCAACTTCAGTCACTAAACAAATGATTGTAAATTGAAAATTACCTATATATGTACTTCCTTTTGCATGTATACTACTTCCCCTTACTCTAGTATTTAACAGAGAAAGTATAGATGCCCCTGTAATCTTGAGGAATGATTACCATTACTTATTTCTTTTCCTGGTCTAAAAAGCTACTGAAATATTTAAGCAAAGCTTGTGCCATCTGAAACAGAGATTTCTGGAGGCTTCTGCCATTTAAAAATTATGCTGGCATATTTTTCACTGGCTGTCAAGATTAAGAATTACAGCCTTTAATAGCTATGCATTATTTCAGGGACCCACAGAAATTCTGCAGCTAAGAAAAGCAACAATGACATTAGTATTAACACTGTCACCGAACAATTTATGGCCAGGAAATATATATATATTGTTCATAACAAAGTGCTAATAACCTGATCATCTCAAATGAAAACATTCCACTCTGGGAGATTTATCAGAGGATTCTTTTTTTTAAAAAATGCTTGCTTTGAAATCTTCTGAGGTCAAAATCTGAAGGTTGTCCATAATGTCTTACATTACATCTGCTTAAACAGGTGTTGTCGCAGTGTAATAACAGCCAGAGAACACAGGGATGGGAATGCATAAAGCAATAGCAGCCTATTCCAATGGCAATTTTCTTCTTCACAAATAAACTCAGAAGTTGTAATTGAATAATAAGGAATGCTATATCATGAGTCCTCCTCCTTTTTCTCTCTCCAAAGGAAAATCCAATAAATCCAATAGACAAAGGCTCTGGTTATTTTTTAAATTGTTCCTATTTAAGTACCTTTTGTCTCCAGAGTTAAATGTTTTAATATGAATCAACTCATGAGTCTGAGTCAGGTTTCACTGAAGCAAAATTAACTGCAATGGAAGTTAAATGGAAAAATGCAAATTTAGATTGAAAGGTATCAACTTTAATGCTACTTAATGTCAGGCTATACAGTTTTTCCCCTAGACTTCCGAAAATAATCAGTTTTTACCCATCCAGAAAATTAATTCCAAAAATGAACTTCAAAACAGATGCATGCAGCTTCTGAAATATTCATCAACATATTTAATTATTTTCTAAATAATTAAGATTGCTATAATTTTTTCTCAACTTGAAGAAGCCAGTAAAACTTGCACAAAGAAATGATAGGTAGTGAACTTATAACTGCAACTGGGACCAACCGGATTTCTGATTGTAAGTCATTCTGGTTGGGAGTCATCCACATGACCAGACCCAATTTTATGACTTTTTTTTGGTGCAGTCATTAAGCCAACGCTACAGTCATGTGAATCTATTCCTCCAAATGGATATTTTTTTGCTAGAAACCGGCAAAAAAGTCATGAATTGCAGTCACATAACCATAGAATGCTGCAACCGGTCATAAACGTGAGCCAGCTGCCAAGCACTTCAAATATAGACATGTCACTACAGGGCATGATATTGGTGTGGCATGACTTTTTACAACAATCAGAAGTTCTCTATGACTTGTAAACCACCTGTTCTGGGCTCATTTTAATTTCGAACAGTTGTTAAGCAACCAGTCATATGTTAAGGGCTACCTCTAATTATGTAGAAAAAAATATTTAAGAGACATACAACTTCTACTTCCATGTTAAACTGTGTTGCAAATATAGCCACACCCGGAGCTGTTGGAAAGACTCCATAGAGAAATGCATAGTTGGATAAACTGGTATGGTTGACCAAAGTCTGGCTCTTGTCTAACAACTCCACCATTTCCCGGCATAGAAGGGGCATCAACAACCTAGAATAAAGACAGAAAAACAAAACAAAAACAAATTATTATGAAAAATTTAGGGCCCTAAATTAAAAAGTATTTTTTCAGTGAAACTTTTCTTTGTGTAGGTCAACATATGGACTTAATTCTAAATGTAATACAGGCCTTCCTTGACTTACAACCATTCATTTAGTGACTGTTGGAAGTTACAACAGCACTGAAAAAACTGACATATGACTGTTTTCCACACTTACGACTATTACAAAATCCTCATGGTCATGGCAACTGGCATGGATCTACAATAATGGCCAAAATTGTGGAAACCTTTTGGGGAAAGTGTACAGTAGAAATGCCATCTTTGGTTAAGTTTCCACCAATTTTTCTTCTAATTTCTTTATAACTGTAGCCTTGTTCACTTAATAATTCTATTTTACATCGCTTTTTGGGCAACCAGTCAACTCTTTGTACCATTACATTAATTTTATTACATTTTACAAGCTCACTAAATGAAAGAACACAAAAAAACCCAATCAACTTGATAGCGATCACATAACACACTGACAAATGTCCTCCTCTCAGCTTCAATGCATGACATCAATAACTGAATCCTACTGTGATCTGATTGGCTCATTGCCAAAACAAGATGACACCTGATTGGCTTTCTAAACACTCATGTTCATTGGCTACAATCAGATGAAGGAAAGCTACCTGATATCAACCTAAGCAAGTTGTGCTTCCTTCTTCTGGTTATTTGGCTACAACTTTTCATAGAATACAGTACAGATAATTGAACAAACTTTGTTGCATTACATTCTTGGTTAAAATATCTTTCCATTGATATATAATTTTATGGTACTACTCCAAAAACAGTGGTGTTATTAGCCATCAGATCTCAAAAATACACTTTTCCTAAAAGGTTTCCAAAATTTTGGCCACCGCTGTATGACAACTGCATTCTGGGGTAATGTGATCTCTTTTTGCGACATTCTGACAACCAAAGTCAACAGGGAAGCCAGATTTATTTAACAACCATGTTACTAACATAACAACTACAGCGATTAATTTAACAACTGTGGCAAGAAATATTGTAAAATGGGGCAAAACTCACTTAACTGACTTGCTTAGCCACAGAAATTTTGGGCTCAACCGTGGTCACAAATCAAGAGCTACCTTTATTTTAAGGAGTACTGGTTTTGTAGCATTCATATTTGCAATCCAAGCACAAAGCATTGGAAGATTCTTACCATCTAATAATTTTACATTTCTATCATGTAATCATAATAAAAAGGGCAAGCAATTTTTCATAATCTGAAATAAAATGGATCAGTCCACTTGTTGGAAACTATTTTTTTAGTTCATGGCAAAATATTTAAGATTTAATCCCAAAGCACAAAGAAACATAAGGAAGGAAACTTACAGTTTAGCCGTGATGAGAAGAATTAGTGCAACAAATGTACCCCTCGTCAGTTTTTTTATTTGGCCAACCATGGTGAGACCCAGGTAAAAAAGGGCCGAGCCAGAAAATGAATTGGCAAGACTATCAAGGAAGTTTTCCAAATATATAGGAATCTTTTGTTTAAGGATGTAATTGGAGGCAATTCCTATGAAGACCATAAACACAATTGGATTCTGCAGCACGTGAAGAAGCCCAAGTCCTACGATTTTCATTTTGCTATGAGAGAGATTCCGATTGTCTTTTGATTTCTGGATTTCACAGAAGATAAACCCCAAGGGGTTTAGCATCATAAGCGATATTGGTGCAACCAGGTAAATGTACTGGAGATACTCAGGATATGTATTTTGATACAAAGCTTCAACTAAAGAAAAAAGAAAAAGATTGTGGAAAGCAGTTAATTATACTGGATATACCTTTATTCTCACATTTTTAACTGCCGTGCATAGAGTAGATCAGTGGTTCTCAACCTGTGGGTCGGGACCCCATTTGGGGTCGAACGACCATTTCACGGGGGTCGCCAAACAACGCAGTCCGTCATTTTTCCCCCTTTTCCTTAGCTGTGCTACTCCCTTTTATTCTATTGGCTTTTGAAAGCCAATAGAATAGACTCTCTTGAATAGAGTCTAATTCTATTGGCTTTCAAAAGCCAATCGGAATTGTCCAGGCTGTCTCTGCCCTGCTGAGCCCACCAAAAGTCCCATTCTGCAAACGGTGCTGCACCAGTTGAGCAGTCCTCGACTTACGACCGGTTGAGTGGTCCTCGACTTACGACCGGTTGGGGGGTCGCGGCATTAAAAAGGTTGAGAACCACTGGACTAGATGGAATTATTATTGCAACACTTAAGTTATTTCACCCATAGCAGCTTCCTTACTTAAAGTAATACACCAGAGCTTCATATATATCCAAAGTACACTCACTTATCAATTTTCTTTTTAAATCATCAAATTTCAGTTATTACTCTTAATGATTTGCACCACTACCAGATGTTTCTTTTGGGACAAATGGATAAGCAATTAGAAAAAAGTCATGGAACTTAGTTTTTATATATGACAACTGCAGCAAGATTTTTATAAGTTCAAAAGTGGAAAGATTTGATGCTACATACAATGAAGAAATAGTTGTGGAAGATGATGAAATTGGTGGAGATGGTTAAATTAACCTGTTTGATTAGAGAGAAAACAACATCTACATTTATGGCTGATTGGAAACCCCTAGTAGACTTTTTGCATGAAATGGAAAAAAATGCAGTTATGATTTATGCATTGATGATTAGGAAAAAAACTGGAGAGGAGAGACAGGGTTTTTTTGTAATCATAGAGCAGACATGTCAAACACAAGGCCCGGGGGCTGGATGCGGCCCGCAAAGTGGTTTCATGTGGTCCGCGAAGCCATCCTGGAAACAGTGAGGGAACGGCCCCCACTGCCTTGGCCCTGGCCCAGGCCAGCCAGGAGCCAATGTACAATTTTGGCACTTGTCCTAGTGGACCATGCCTTGGCACTTGCCCTGGTCCCACCCCCTTCTGCCAGAGACCCTCAGATCTGTCCCACTCCTGCCGAGGCTTCCACAGGCACCCTTGACACGAATGATATAGAACTGGCCACACCCACCCAGTAGGCCACACCCACTCCATCCATGCCCACCCAGTAGGCTGCACCCACCCTGGCCACACCCAACTGGCCCCCCAAGGGCAACCGCAATGCTGATGCGGCCCTCAGTGAAATTAAGTTTGAACCCCTGTTGTAAAGTAAAAAAAGGTTGTAATTGTACATGTATTTGAAATCAGAATTTATTTCTATTCTTCCTTTTGCTTTACTTTTTTCTTTTTGTTCTTTATTTCTTTTTCTCTATATTAGTTATTGTGTTAATTTTTATGGTTCTTTGTGAAACTTTTAATAAAATTTATTTTAAAAACCCAAGTTCCTTGTGCTAGCTAAAGCTGATGAAAATTACAAGTAGCCCATGACTTACAACAGTTACTTAGCGAGAGTTTGAAGTTAGACTAAACCTATCAAGGGGCTACTTATGACCCAGATTCAAAGTTCTGACAGTTGGTCCTCGCATCACTCATGTGGCTGAACTTCAGGTGTTTGGCAACCAGGCTGCATTTATGATTGTTCGTACTGTCTAGCATTCACTTCCAGTTTTGGGCAAAACTACATGCATAGTGAACCACTGGTTCACTTAGTGACTGCAGATTTGCTTATTGACTGTAGCAGCCGTTTAATAACCACATCACTTAATGACCACCAAAAAAGGTCATAAAATCAAATTGATTATGTGATCAGTGAGTTTTATAACTGTCACGACTGTCAATCAAAGACTACTTGTATAACCCAGTGCACTTGGCAGGCAAAACTATTGCCATGACAATTCAAGAAAAAATATTGCTCCGCCAATAATTGAAAAATCTTATTTGCTGAGGAAAGACATGGTCCTACCTAAGTGTTTTAAAAGCCTTTGACAATATTGAATGGCCTTTGAATTTTAAAATCAGATTTGGACTTGTTTTGAGAACAGTTATATAACTCCATCTACTTAGAAACTTTGTAGGCGAGCTTGAAATGTGATACAACATTTTGACTATTATCTAATTAAAATAATCACCATTTCCAAAACAACACATACATTGAGATGCTGAATGTGCTTAAACATCTAGATAAGAGTCTTGCCTGGACAGGATTTACACATGGGAAATTGCTAAAGTGTCTGACATTTTTAAAATGCAAAATCTTTCATACTTGAAGTTGTTTTGTGGAGATTGAAATTGATTATTCTATATTTAGTTGAAGTGTTCCAATGATACACTATTCTGAAAGAATTTCAATCTTAAAATAATTATTTCAAATTCAAAACAGCATTTTTTGAATCTGAAGCAAGCAGTTTGAGTGTTAAATGGGTTTTTTGAGCTCAGTACACTTCTGGAATATCAGAAAAATTCCAGAATATTTCTAATAAGGTCAGAGTACAGCCCAAAACACAAAATGGAGTATTTTGCACACTGTTACAACAGTATCCCCTGCGGAAGGGATGGAATTCCAGCTTTTATCAGTTGGGCATTCTGTTCCAGAATCTCTTTTTCAGAAGGTAGGAGGACATTTTGAACAATGGAGAGAAGCAACAGGATATACTTACAACATCATTATCTTGCCTTTGTTTATAGATAATTGAAGGTGGCAAATATACCCAATACTCCTGCCTCCTCCTATTTTCCCCACAATAATGCTCTGATGTAGATTGGGCTGAGAGAAAGGGACTGGCTCAGTCACCCAGCTACTTTTGTGACTAAGTGAAGCCTAGAAATCACAGACTCCAAACTGGCCTTCAATTGCATATTTTATTGGCAAGATTAATTATTGCCCTGCCAATAATTGAAAAATTGTATTTGCTGAGGAAAGATATGGTCCTACTTAAGTGTTTTAAAAAAGCCTTTGACAGTATTGAATGACCTTTGAATTTTAAAATCAAATTTGGACTTGTTCTGAGAACAGTTATATAACTTCATCTACTGACAACCTTTGTAGGCAAGCTTGAAATCTGATATGACATTCCATTAACGATAATCTTGTTTTATAACCCTGCTCTTTCTCTTAATGAAATGGCCTTTGTATCATCTTACAGCCAGTGATAAACAGACTGGTTAAATCTTGCATATCCAATCACAGAGCAGCTGACACAGAATCACCATCATCAAAACACACTTCCCAGCCAGGAAAACAATGATGTAGATAAGTTCCTGGCTTTTAAATTTGTAACATTGTCTTTCATCTTTAAGTCTAACAAGTAAATATTTAATTAAATATCAATTTGGCCATCTTCCCTAATGTCCTGACCACTGAATGCTTTCAACTCAAATGTCTATTAGTCCTCTTGGCCATGCTGATAGAGATGATAGGATATGTATCCCAAATCTCTCAAGAATGTCTCTCTGTCCTTGATGCTTGCTCCTGTATGCCTTCAAACACCTCCTCTGAAGACCATTACATAGCCACAATTAAGGTTTGTGTGTTGGGAGGAAAATTGAGTGGGAGCAACATTATTACCCTCTCACTAGTTCTTCATATCTATAAAGTCATAAAGTATTTGTATTTCTTCTTAAAACATATGTTGCATTTGATTGCAATTAGTTACTAGATTGCTAGATATATTAGTCTATTTTTTTAAAAAAGAACATTTAACTATATATGTATAAATTAAAATAAATTGTAGCACATTTCCCAAACTTTCTCACAATAATCCTTCCTAAACAAATACAATTATAGTAGCACAATAGGCTACCACAGTGGTGGCCAATCTATGGCATGGGTGCCAGAGGTGGCACTCAGACCCCTCTCTGTGGGCAGTCCTAGGCCTTCAGCTGGATTTTATAAAACCTTTTCGCTTTAGGCATCCACCACTGTGTGCAAAAAAAAAAAAAAAGGTTCAGTCAATTTCAACTTCTCGCAAACATAACTTGCAAAGTTGGAACTGATTGAACTTTTTAGTCCCACACAGTCTGCCGTTACTACCGCAGCCATGCCCAGCCAATGGGCCACACCCACCCGGCACTCAACGATGCATAAGTGGGTTTTGGGTTGCAGTTTGGGCACTCAGTCTCTAAAAGGTTCGCTATCACTGGGCTACTATATGGCTTGTATGTATTCATCTGAAAAATGCATAGGGCATGGCTTCATCCAATGATCTTAACTTGTCAGGTTTTATTTGAGAGAAAGAATCTTCTAAAATATTGTGTAAGTAGGGCTATAAAAATCAAAAGTAGCATGTTACAACCGTTCCTGAAAACTAACTGATAAATATTAAAGCTTTTTGGCTATCACTATATTATACCACTGATTTGCTGACAATTTACAATCACAAAGAAAAGATATCACATAATCTGCATACAGAAAAAATGCATAGAACAAACATTACAGGAGCTTTACATATCATTTTTGTATAGTATCTAGCCTGCAAAACTAACACATCCAACTGACTTCAACAGGTCTACTTTAAGTACTGCTGCTACGTTCAGTCTATTAAAATCCAAACCAAGACTTAGTAGCAAGTTACTAGTTTTCTATATTTCCTTATTAGCCCCCCAGTGACTACCAAGATTTTTGCTGCATAGATAAATAGTAGTTCTATTTTAAGCTGAACTAAATCAAAATAGATGTCATAATTTACAGTGAAGGGTCTGCCTGCATTTTCAAAGATATGTTTAAAAACTTCTATGGGAACTTTGACATAAGAGGATTATGGAACAGAAAGGACAAATATTTCCATTCTATAGAAAAACCAATTATATCAAATTTCCTGTTTCATCACACTATTAAATAATTGCATCTTACATGATAAAAATATCCCCAAACTTCTTTCTATTTACAGTTTCTTTAGTCAGCATATTTAGAATGACACATATATATATACTACTTAGGATTTAATGCTGCTTAAAGGGCAGAGCTATATTCCATTCTTTTAAGTACCTTTTAATGATAGGGACCATAAACCACCTGAATTGGGTTTACCAATATTTGCTTGTGTATTACACCAGAGCTTTCAAGCTTTCCTTCCCAGCTAAGGATTCAAACTATTATTTTCTTATAAATGACATCAGCATAAGGCAACATTAGCTGTTGTTGTTGTTGTTAATTGCGAAGTCGTGTCTGACCCATCGCGACCCCATGGACAATGTTCCTCCAGGTCTTCCTGTCCTCTACCATCTTCTGGAGTCCATTTAAGTTCACACTTACTGCTTCAGTGACTCCATCCAGCCATCTCATTCTCTGTCGTCCCCTTCTTCTATTGCCCTCAATCTTTCCCAGCATTAGGCCCTTCTCCAGTGAGTCCTTCCTTCTCATTAGGGGGCCAAAGTATTTGAGTTTCAACTTCAGGATCTGGCCTTCTAAAGAGCAGTCGGGGTTGATCTCTTCTAGGACTGACCGGTTTGAAAGCCTTGCAGTCCAAGGGACTCGCAGGAGTCTTCTCCAGCACCATAGTTCAAAGGCCTCAATTCTTTTGCGCTCAGCCTTTCTTATGGTCCAACTTTCACAGCCATACATTGCAACTGGGAACACCATGGCCTGGACTATACGCACTTTTGTTGGCAGGGTGATGTCTCTGCTTTTTAGAATGCTGTCTAGATTTGCCATAGCTTTCCTCCCCAGGAGCAAGCATCTTTTAATTTCTTGGCTGCAGTCCCCATCTGAGGTGATCTTGGAGCTCAGAAAAATAAAATCTGTCACTACCTCCATTTCTTCCCCATCTATTTGCCAGGAATTAAGAGGGCCGGATGCCATGATTTTGGTTTTCTTAATGTTGAGTTTCAAGCCAACTTTTGCACTCTCCTTCTTCACCCGCATCAAGAGGCTCTTTAGTTCCTCTTCACTTTCTGCCATTAGCATGATATCATCTGCATATCTTAGGTTGTTGATATTTCTCCCGGCAATCTTAATTCCAACTTTTGTTTCATCTAACCCTGCCTTTCTCATGATGTGCTCTGCATATAAATTAAATAGGCAGGGCGACAGTATACAGCCTTGCCGGACTCCTTTTCCAATTTTGAACCAATCAGTGGTTCCGTGTCCGGTTCTCACTGTTGCTTCTTGACCCGCATATAGGTTTCTCAAGAGACAAATAAGATGGTCTGGTATTCCCATCTCTTTAAGAACTTGCCACAATTTGTTAGCTAACTGTATATAAATGCAGGCTCTGTATATAAATACATTAGCTAACTGTATATAAATGCAGGCTCTGTGAATCAGTGTGTAGCTTCAAGAACAGGCAATATAAAAAAAGTTGATCCAAATTTAATGCCTAATGTGCCACTCCCTACAAATGATGAAACTATTGCACCTGTGCACAGAGAGTAAATTTATATATCATGTTAATCTGTTCTTTATCCAATAATGGTTCATTAAATAAAGCATAATGTTTAGCTTCACCAGATATGCTGAGTCACAAGACTATGGCTAACAATTCATAATGACTGATTCCACATCAAATACAGTACAATATCTACAACTTCTTACAATGAGATTTTGGAGTTTGGGTGCAGTTTAATATATGAAATGTTTGTCTTGAGGCTTTCGCAGACTAAAAAGGTACTTACTGTACCTTTAAAAAAACCCATCTTTGCAATATCAGGCCAATATATTTTTCCTTTTGGAGAGCAAATGTATACTTTTTTCTCAAAAATTAAAACACTGCACTACAGGAACAAAAAAAAATGACTGGTTTCAAAGAAGCTCTTATCTAGGCAGAAAGTTATACATTGTTGATAAAGTGACTAATTTATGTCTTGTATCAAAACTGCATATACACAAACCCACACCCTGCCCAAATATGTGTTTTGGAAATGGATGTTATGCATGCCAATTCTAAAGCACTATGGAAAAAATACAAAATAATTACATAAAACGATTCTTACCTATAGGATATCCCAGTGCAAAGTCGTTGCTCTGAGTAGCAAAAATAGGAAAGAGTCCAGCTTTGCTAAATCGTTTTTCAGGGGTGACTATCAACAATGTTAATGCACAGACTAAGAAGAATACAGATGCTTTGGCAATCAGGATGCTGTACAGAAAGGACCAATTCACATTGGAAAAATTCAGCAAGACCATATTTTTGAAGAGCAAAGCTGGGAGTGCAAAGCGGGAGACAAAATTTCCTAATCCTTTGGCCTGAGTTGATGTAATTATATTAACTCTTCCAGCTATATATCCACAAAGGATAATGCCAAAGCATTGTAACAAAGCTGGAAAAAGCTTACTTATTGACATTGAAGGAGAATTATTGCTTAAATTCAGCTGATCCTCAAACTTGTCAGATATAAGACCAGACATATTAGTTGAAGAAAAAATATTCTTTGTGTTGATGTGAGTAAAAACATCCATATTTATTCGTCCCTTCTGAAAATTTTAAAAGTAGTGTCCGATCTGTAAAAGAAGAAAGGCAATGTTTCTTGATCATTCGGAGCTGATATTGCATTCTGTATTTTTGTCTAGTGCACTTCCAACATGTCAAACCAAAAGCCATTTTCATATTACGTTGAATATTTATCATAGAGACAGAATATTGACTCTATTGAAAAAATAAATAAATCAGGTGACGTCAGGGTAATGGTGGACAGGAACTGAACATTGCTTGTAGATAAACTAGTATGATTAATTTACTTCTGGGTAGACCTGCCAACCTAGTAATTCAAAAGCATGCAAATGCAAATAGATAAATAGGTACTACTTCGATGGGAAGGTAACAACACTCCATGCATCTTTGGCATGTAGTCATGCCACATGACCATGGAAGCATCTTCTGACAACATTGGCTTGGCTAGGAAATGGCAATAAGCACTGCCTCCCTAGAGTCAGACACAACTGGACAATGGAAATGTTTACCTTTATATTTACCTTTACTAGATCCGAATTTCTCTTTATAAAAAAACTAAAAATTCTTACAGAAAAATGTGTTGGCTGTAACAAGTGGGAATTAGAACAGAGTTAAATTTATAAAGAAATTATATTATAAAATTATAAAGAAATTACTTAAAAATAAAAAGAAATTACTGGTCTAGAAACCAGGAGATTGTGAGTCTTCATTGACAAAAAAACCAAAAGGCAGAATAAAAATCTAAGAAAAAGAACTGGGATTCTATTCATTGAGCAGTGTGCCCATATTGTTTGGACTAGTGATGTAGTAGCCCAGAATAATTGTGATCATGTCTGCTTCCCTTGTTTAGGATGACTATTACAGTTAGGAATCCAATGAATTTAGGTTTTAACTTAGGTAGTCACTGAAATATACTTGCAGGTATGAAATCTAAGTATACTTTCCTCTCACAAATAGAAAACTCAAAGATAGCTTTGTCAAAGAAATATACCGACTGAAATTGCAAAGAAAAATCTCTGCAACAGGAAGTAACATTGTTAAAACGTGTATTCTTACAATCATCTGGGGACATGAGAGTTTTTTAAAAATAAAACACAAGAGACAGCTAATTTTTGAACTTCCTGTTTTTGAAAACCAATTAAACCATCTGCTATCTGATTTTCTATACTGAGGCCTGAACAAAAAAATTCTACCTCAATGGAAAAAAAGGAAAAAAAATACAAATATAATTTTGAAGATACTTCAATTTTACTTCACTTAAAAGTTTTACCACCAGGCAATGAAGGTATTACAATTACTTAATCCGCCAAACAATATTGCAATTATTTTATTGGGTAATTTACAAGGGAAAAGAAGTAATTGCAATAGGATGTCATTTTGTCCCAGTTGATCAGTGTTGAGTTTAAGAAAGAGATTATGAAAGCAAGAGAGAAGGGGGGGGGAGGAGGGCAAAAATGGGTGACAATTGAAAAAAAATACATCCATTTTAATTAAAATCCTGAATTTCTTCTAATATTTACGCCACGTATAAAAACACAAATTACACAATGCCAATGTATCAGGGGAGCAGCTCTATGCAGTGATTACAGGCAGTGGACTAGGACCTGGAAGACTGTGGGCACAAAACCGACTGGTTGACTTTGGGCCACTCACATTCAGCCTTAGGACAAAGATACTGGCAAAGCTACTTCCAAAAACGATGCCAAGAAAACTGCAGAGTCTTCTAATCTAAAGGCTTATTTTCTGGGATTCTAATGGCTCATCCAGCGGCCACTATAAGTAATACCCGCGTTTCGACTTTCTGAACGTTTGGATGGAAGCGTTAAGCTAATTAGGCAACGAAATCGCTACAGTTCTACTGATTGTAAGAAACGCATCCAACCCAGGGTTAGGTCTTTACAACAGAGAGGACCCCACACACACACACACACACACCTCCTCATCCACGCTCACACGCCCGCGCCGGAGCTGCAAGAGAAGCTCTCGTCTCAGCCGATGGGCCCACCCCGCAGCCAATAGGATCGCGTTTACGAGGAACGGGAAAGGACTGGTGGCGAGTTTGAGTCGATTTGCACCCAGAACGAAGAGCGGCGGCTAAACCTACAGCAGAGGCGCGGGCGAGAGGGCAAGGCTCCCACAGAGCGCCAAGCAGATTCACCCCCTTCCCCTGCTCCTGGCTGTCACTGGGCACAACAGAGGCCCCACGGAGGAGACTCCTTACAAGGGCAACAACCTCCGAAATATCCCCCCACACACACACAGTCAGCGCTTTAGCTCCAGGAATGCCACAAGCCCTCCTTCTGGCTAAAGCCCAGTCCGTGGCTAGCAGCCCAAGCGTGGCCCTGAGGGAGAAGGCTGGAAGCCCCTCTTTACCCACTGCGTCGCCTTGGAAGCCGGCTATTCCTTCCCTCCCGCGCCCTCTCAATTCCCAGTTCCCCGCACAGCAAGCAGCTGCTCGGTTTCCGAGGTGAGCCAACCCAGCGAGGCGAGCTGGAGCCTGCTGTGGCTACCACCCCCGGCCGCCCGGCCGCCCGCGCGCGCGCCTCCTGCAGCTGTTCGCGGGGAAAGGGCGCCTCTGCCTCCATTACCTGCCCTCGCCCTACGGGGGCTGCAACACCGAGAGCAAAAGAAGACCAGGCATCTCCGGCCCTGCCAGGGACCTGTCGTCTTGACCGGAGCACCTCGCGTGGGGCTGAACCCGGCTGCGTGTGAGCTCACCGCAGAGGCGGGTCCAGCTGACAGAGCCCGCCCCGCCTCTGGGTCTAGCCAAGATGGCGATGAGGTCGTGGGGTTGCTGCACCAGAAGAGGAGAAGCATGAAATCCCAGCGGCTGATTGCACTGGCTCCGTTTACTCAAGCTTAGCTCTCCTCCGCATCGCCTCCTTTTTGTAAAGAGCCCGTGGCCGTAGACCTGTGCCGCGGGCGTTTACTCGGAAGTAATTCCTACGCGCCCGAATGGGGCTCTCTGCCTATGACGCGCGCACAGGGTTGCAACCTTCTGAGGTAGCCCTGCTGCATTTGAACTGGTGTATGTCGCTGCGTTAATCTGTTGAGGCTGGATTCTTAGGCTCTATTAGCCTAGATTCTGATTATTTTTTGTTTTCCAATATCCAGCGGTCCCTTCATTTTTTAAATTGTTATTATTTTTTGTATAACTGGTTGTCCTGATAGCCAGACAGGGCTTTTCCCTACTGCTGAGTTGAAGCACTCTTCCACCAGCCTTGAGTGTGTACAAAACTATAGAGGCAGCCAATTCCTGGCTTATTTTTATTGCCTCTGGAAAGTCAAAGTAACCACCTGACTTCCCTGTAAGGCAGAGGTGATAACAGTTTTGACACACCTGGAAGCTGCCCTTGGTGCAGCAATAAAGGGGAAATGTTAACTGGCTAAGCCTCTCTTAGTTGTGAGGAAGCAATCAGATGAAAGCAGAAGAAAAAGGCATTGGCAAGGTAGATTTATGTTAGTGGTAAAATGAAAATGCTGTGGCCAAGTCAGCTGCCTTCTTTTTAAACTTTCATGTCAAGAAAAAACGGGAATACAAAAAGAATACAACAAAGGCAAGCTTTTTAAATGTGAAACTACTTTCTCATTGAAAAAAGTTTTTTTCCTGCACTCTATGCTCAATAAATCCATTAGTTTTTGTGTGTTTTGATAAAACACAAATATTTGGAATATTATTTAGAATTACAGCCACATCTTTAAATTATATCTCCCTAAAACAAATTCATGAATGTAGAACCAAGATGAAATAATTGCAGGATTGTAAAAGTTCTCTCCAACATTTTATACTTATGACATAATGAAGTTGAAAACCATCCTTTTTAAACATTCTCTAGCACAGTGATGGCGAACCTTTTAGAGACCGAGTGCCCAAAAACTGGCCCCGCCCCGCTCCACCTCCTGCCCCGCCCCCACTCTGCCCCCCCATCCCTCACCCCGTCTGCCCACAGGACCACTCACCGTCTCCAGGGCCCGCCACAGATCGTCCAGGCAGCCCAGCAGCGCTATGGCGGCCACACCCTCTGCCTGCGCCCTGCAGTATCAACTGCATGATGGGGTGTGAGTGCAGAGTCTTGTCTACACTGCCTGACTGCCATGTCCTTGGCTGTGCTGCTCCGTGTGGGCCACTCTCGGGGGCAACTCTCCTTCAGGGGGGCTGCTGGAGAGGAGGGGGTTGCGGGGGGAGGCGAGGCTGGGGCAATGGCACATGTGCCCACAGAGAGGGCTCCAAGTGCTGCCTCTGGCACCTGTGCCATAGGTTCGCCACCACTGCTGTAGCATATCCAATAAATATGAAAAGTCATTTATGGAATTAATTTCATGTTAGGATTGTAACAGTGAATATACCCAAGGACTATTGATTAACCACTGATTTGTTAATATGGGGTATTTGAACACTTCATTCCAAAGTTCTTGCTAATAACTAATATCCACTTTAACGCTCTCCTCATATCTATTTTGGCAGCATAATATGTGCTTATCTTTTTCAGTCAGCCAACGCTGCCCTCTAGCAGTTTTCCAAAAGGCCGCTTTCTCTGAAAAAATAAGAACACATCTCACATATTTCAGTTTGAAATAAGCAAACCAGCATAAAATTGAACAACAGTTACCTCCTGGCTTAATCAGAATCCCCCCCCCCGCTATTTCAATATATAAATTATCCTATATGTGTCAGCTTATCAATGCAGTAATGCCTTGTTTCATTATCCAAAAACTTAAGTTCCTCGTTAACATCAATGTTTTAAAGCTTAATTTTAAAATTCTTCCCCATTCTTCCCAATCTATCTAGACAAGGATGTGTTGTATGTAGTGGTAACTCTCAATACTGCTATAGAAACTGAAAGGAGTAAACAAAAGATTAAATCATAATAAATATACAGGTAGTCTTGACTTATGACCACAATGAGGACATCAATCCCAGCAATCTTAATTGCTATTGTAACTCTAAACATGTGAGTCATTAAGCAGGAAGTGAAGGGAGTCCAGGTAAGGAGCATGGGGGTGCCACACTGGAGTTGGGGAGGCTCAATGTAGGGCACACAAAATTGGGGGGTGCTACAGCATGGCGTGAGTGTAGGGAGCATAAGGAGGCCAGGGGAAGAATAAGCTGTGGTTCAGGGATATCTTGGCACACTGAGAGGTAATTTAGTGCCCCAGGGCTTTGACTATCACCACAGGGTACTTGCTGTGTGTTTTAATGCTTATTTTGCTACAACAGATAAGCTGCAGCAGCCTACGTTTCTAAACCTTTTAGAAGAACACAATGTGCACTTTAGTCTCCATATCTGCAAAAAGCTATTATTTTGATTCAATTACCTCTATGCAAATACTTGTAAATGCTTCACTGAGACAATTCCACCTTCTTTAAAAGAAGCAGTGATCAGACCCTTCCTTTAAAAAAAATGAAAAATTGTATTATTGTAAAGTACAACTACCGTACACTGTATTATGTGAATACAGTAGTGCTTATACAGTATTCATTGAAGGTTATTAAGACTCTGTTTACATAACTTAAACCTTTGAAGATTAAAAAAAATATCAATATTAACTATGCTTTTTCAAATATTAATATGCATCTAAAGCTAAATGTGGCATTAAGTAGGCCATTCCTGAAAAGGCCAGTGGCTAATATTCCCCTCCTGGGCAAGGTGTTTGAATGGATGGTGGCCCATTAACTCCAAGTTCTTGGGCGCAGTTGACTTTCTACATCCATTTCAATCCTGTTTCAAGATGGCTATGAAATAGAAACCATCTTTGGTTGCCTTGTGGGAATGACTTATGCTGGGGGGAAATGGAGAGTATGGTCCTGTTGGTTTTTCTGGATCTTCTAGAGACTCTTCAGTTCTGTTAATCATGGGATCCTGACTGTCAGGATCATCACCATTACTAGAAGTAGCCTTGGTAGCTTTTATATCAGCTTCAACTGATTTAATATCTATGACCTTACCTGGGCTGAGTCAACTAACGGATTATTCAGACTCTGGTAATTTCTCAGTTGGATTACTGCAACATGTTGTTTGTATGGCTGCCTTTAAATCAGCCTGGGGACCTCAGCTGATTCAAAACAGTCTAGACCAGTGTTTCTCAATCTTCCTAATGCCGCGACCCTGCAACCGGTCGTAAGTCGAGGACTACCTGTATTTCCCTGCCCAGGAGCACCGCGCATGCGTGGTGCCGCCCCCTGCACCGGCTGAGGCGTAGCTGGCAAGCGGCAGAGACGGTGCAGACCGACCACTGGCTGGGCCACTAGCTGGCCCAGCCCAAGGCAGGTAAGACACCCGCCGGGCCCGTGCGCCAGCAACCCTCCCTGCGCCCGCCGCTGCCCCGCTAGCTTTACCTTGGCCACCGCCTGTTCGGGCCGGCAGCAGGTAGGCCCAGGTGCTCCTGGGCAGCCACGGCAAGCGGCAGTGACGGCGCAGGCTGACCACTGGCTGGGCCACCAGCTGGCCCAGCCCAAGGCAGGTAAGGCACCCGCCGGGCCCCATGTGCGCCAGCAACCCTCCCTGCACTCGCCGGCCTCCCACCTCTGGCCCTCTTTTACTTACTTTTAGTAGTTTCTCAGCAGGGAGGGAAGCTTTCCGGAAAGTTCGCCTTGCAGCACCGTTTGCAGACTGGGGCTTTTGGTGGGCTCAGCAGGGCAGAGACAGCCTGGACAATTCCTATTGGCTTTTGAAAGCCAATAGAATTAGACTCTATTCAAGAGAGTCTATTCTATTGGCTTTCAAAAGCCAATAGAATAAGAGGGAGTAGCACAGCTAAAGAACAGGGGAAAAAAATGGTGGACAGCCTTGTTTGGTGACCCCCGTGAAATGGTCGTTCGACCCCAAATGGGGTCACGACCCACAGGTTGAGAACCGCTGGTCTAGACTACTCAAGAGCCTGACATACACAAACATATTATGCCAGTGCTTTCCATCTACATCGACTGCAAATTGTTTTCCAGCCCTAATTCACACTGCTGCTTTTCACCTTTAAAGACCTAAACAGCTTAGGACTAGATCACTACGGGATGTGCCTTTTCCCACATGTACTTCTTTTGACTCTTAAAAATCTTCTAATGGATCCCGTGCAGATCCATCCAACAAAGGTGATGATGTGGGTCCCTATCAGGGGAAGAGGTAATAGCCCGTTTATGGAATTCTCTCCCTAAAGAGGTTCAGCTGGTGCCCACATTGGCATCATTTTGGCATGAGGTGACAGCCTGTTTTCTCAAGCTTTTAAATTGTATTTTAATTCATGTTGTTTTAGTTTGCATTTGATTTCATCGCATATATTTTAATTTGAATTGTATTTGCGTATGTGTGTGTGTGTGTGTGTGATTTAATCCAGATGCCTAATTCTATTCCATAACGCTATGCAGACTATGTTAATATACATTTTAAACAAATTGCCATTTATTTAATTGAGGCCTAATGGCATTCGGTTGTCATGGGTCCGCCTTATAGATTTCAAAGTAAGTAAATTGGATGTTGTCCATTTTTATTGCAAGTAGTCCCCACTTAATGACCACTTGTTCAGTGACTGTTCAAAGGTACGCTGGCACTGAAAGAAGTGATGACCACTTTGCTTAATAAGAGAGTTGCTGGTCCCAGTAATGGTTGTTAAGCAAGGACTACTTTTCCAGTGTAGAGATCTAACTAAAACAAACAAAAGACCACCATCTAGTGGTCGGTTTTCAATGTGAAGCAGAAAAGTCAAGAGTTTTATTAAAATCCACATGTAGATGTTTTAAAATGAAAAGCAGAATCTTAAGCTCATATAGATTTAATATGTCGATTAAATTTCTTAACAAAACAAAAATTTTAGATCGAGATAATACAATTATGGGCGCTAGGAAGAATATCCAAGTCTGATAATCACAAATGAATTGGCACTATCAAAGAGGATTGCACTGAATTACCCGTTGTATATACAGTCCCACTGATGTATTTGTGCTTTGGTGGCAACTCAATAATGAGAAAGGTTATCAACCCACATTTTGCATATAACAAAGGCAAATACAGCTCCATCTGACAAACCTTTGCATCATTTTAATTTTTATTCCTTTGTACATGCAAAAAAATCACTTGCCATTTAGTTTCTCATGTACATGTACTTTAAGATAAGCATGTTAATAACCTAAAGTCAAATAGAAACAATCTTATTTACAATATGGGCATGTTTTATTCCATGATATATGTGCAATTTTATAAAAAGGGGGGTATGGATCATATATTTTAAATGCATATCCTGTTATTTCACAATTGATTTGATTCATATGAAAAGGATTTAAATTTTGTCTTTTTTTCAAATTTTAAACACATCCATCTCAAATTTCCATGAATTCATCCATCTAAGAACTTCTAGAATAAAGATCTTAAAATTACAGTCTGATAAGTCTTTTGCAATTCATTATATTGTATTTCTTTACAGTAAGATAAGATGCTACAGAGTGAACACTGTGGGTTGTATGTTGCTTGAATATCACACATGATAAAGCATAAATGTTATATTTGAAGTTCACAGTGGGTCTGGAGACAATAAGTTTTCGATCTTGTTTCTTTTCAAAGCTGCCATTTAGACTCAAGGCACCAAGGTGTTTCAAGGCACCAGTGGTGAAAATCTGATTTTATTTTCCCGTTTACTTATTGTGCGTAAATAAATATGTACTCTAAAACATCTATACTCAAATGTGTTAAACATGTTGTTTTTAATATATATCTGGTGAAAGAAAAAGATGTTTACACAACCAAAACAAATCTCTTCTCCTTTGAAATATTTTCTTACAGTATTTAGCATAAATTCTTTGAGGAAGATTCCTATAGAAGAGAAAGTGCTAACAAATTATCCTCTGAGAAAGAGAGAAGACAATATTTCTCTCTGAAGGCCACATCACATTCTGCACATTAAGGCTTTGGTTGAAATTTCAGATCATATTGCACTAGAATTAAATTTGCCAGTTTTTTTTTAAAAAAGATGATTTTCTAAATCCCAGAAAAATGGCAGCTATTTATTAATAGTAGTAGCAGTTATAATAAGAAATGTTATCTGGCATATGCTTATAACAAGCACAGTAAGATAAAATAACTAAGCGGAGTACAGGTATTTTTATTATTTGCCTGCTCTTTCTATTCCTGGCTGACTATACTTCTTCACATGTCTTGACTAATTTTCCCTAAACTGGTTCTTGCTGGACATTTTGGGACTTTAAGTCCTGTTATTCCTAATCAGCAATGGTCAAGGTGGTTAAATGATATGAGATTTGGAACTGACATCCCACTGGAGCCAGAAAGCACCAAGTTGAAGAAAACTGATCCTGATTTACTGGTAGAAGAACAGTGCTCTATAACCTTATTTATAATGGCCAATCTACTAACATAAAAGTGAGAGAGTACCAGTATGTCAGACCCTTTTGTTGATAAATCAGTTTGTCCAAGTTTTCTAGCTCAAAAGATTCTATTACATTAACTACTGCAATTGCAGTGAATTTGGAATTTCTTTCTGCAATATTCCCTTTAAATGCTTAAAAAATGATTATCAAAATACATATACAAGATGCAGAGACCTTGGAGCATTTAAAAAAATCTGTGTAATACAGAAAACATAAATATTCAGTGTCTGCAACGAAATGTAAATAATCATTCAATTATTTCTTTTTCGTCTTGTTGAAGTTGTTTATAATCCACACATACATACTGTACAACAGCAATCCGATTAAAACTGGAATGATTAATCTGTATGAATGTCAGAATAAGTATATACAAACAGGGCAACAGTCTACTGTGAAAAATCTAATTGTAGACTATATATCATTCTGAAAAGTGCTGAAACCTATTTGTGATTGTAGTTTATGTGAATTGCTGATATTAGCAAAATTTGTGTAGGTAAAGGTTTTGGATCCTGAAAGCTATTCATTACATACCAATTCTGTCACAGAAGTGGGTTCAAAGAATGAACCTCAACACTAAGACAGTCTATTTTAAACCAAAAAAGTAAACTTAAAAACTACATACACACAGAGAGAGAAAATGTAAAGTTATATTCTCTGTTCTCTTTAGTTCCATCCTTTGTTTATCATAAACGGGAAATACACAAAAGGGTATCTTTGCTGATAAGGCCACTGATGAACGCTTTCGAGTGTATCCTCCGACCTTTTCCTCAAATATGTGAGTGTACTTTTCATGTATCTGACTTAATCTTACTTTACCTTTCCACAATTGTTGCGCATTATATTAAACACATGGATTCATCAATATTTCTGCTTCTTTCCATCTCATGACATCATTGGTCAACAGCATCTGCAGAGGTGAAGTCAAAAAGAGTCAAGATAACAGTCGTGGCAATGCAGTTGAAACTCGGCTTCTCTGTATGTGCACTGCAATGTCACAACAGGTAGAAAGAGGGCGCAGGTTCAATCATGCTGCAGTGACTGCCATTTTGATTTTTTTTTTTTTTAACCTCCCTTACAGATGCTGCTAACATCATTTGAAAGATCACTCTCCTGTCTCTACCTTGTGAAGTATTAAGCAGATAAAACGAGAAGATCCTTGAAATTAAATCTTCATAATTTGTTTCCCCTAAGTAGATACTGTATTTGCTTTATTTTATGATTACTTATTTATTACATTTATATGCTGTCTATCTCCCCGTCAAGCCACTCTGGGTAGCTTATCATGTGAATTTCAGTACAGAATCATAAATTCTTCAAGGATTCTTGCCATATGTTGATATCAGTTAGGTAGAATGAACATTGTAAATTGCCAAATCCATTTATTGTCAGGCAGGGTCCAAAAGCATAGGGTCCCAACCCTTAATAACCAAGTCTTCTCTTGCACCTTTTCAGGTAAAGAAAATCCTGTGGAAGGAATTATCATTGCTGCAAAATCAGAAGGTAAATACTAAACTCTTCTGAACCCAGGTTGAAAACTTAATGAGCGCTTGTAAAAGCTCAACTGAATTTGTTCTATAGTTAGACATTTCCTACATAGAGTTGGATGTTTGATTAGTTGCTGCCATGCAAAAGAAAAGAAAAGCTGTTTGAAGCACATAAAAACTTCTCATACTCAAAAGTTTGAACTTGTACCATAATAAAAATGGAGGTCCAGCACATAGATATTAGCAAAAAGTCACAGAAAGTCTTAGTGGCATTCTTTGATACTTGGATACACTAAATAATTGTTGAGTATCGGTCTTTCATGGATCAAAATACAGGCTTTTATAGTAAACATTACATATAAATGGGAAGCTTTGGGTATGATATGTCTTGGAAGGGAGGTCTAATAGTAGAACCATTAGTGAAGTGATGGTGTAATCCTCAAGATGACAATGATGCTCAATCATCCCAACCTAATGACTGAGTGCACAGCATTTTTCTTTTTTTAATTCTCCACTTCAATCCAATTGAGCCCAACAGCTAGACTGAGATGCATTTGTGAAAGCTGTAACGGAAGTTATAAGCAATCTTGGTGGCAACGTTCTTTTGGTCTCTGAAAGGCTACAATTCATTACAGATCAAACAGATTGCCTGAGAAAATGTCACGTAATTATGCCAATCTCCTCCTAGAGATGGAATGTAGCAATTACTGTGCCACACTTTTTTTTTTATGGTCAAATGGGCCAGATCAAATTGATCAGTAATCTCACAGAGATTACAGTTAAAAAGTGAACCAAACTTCCATCCATAGAAATACGGAAGATTTTCATCTCCAGGAATTACATCTTAAGAATATTATGCTATAAAGCCAAGGCAGCTTTTCTCTCCTTGTTGATGACAAGGCTGAGCAAAACTGCAACAAATGATAGTTTCAAGAAGTTCTGAAGATAGTTTTCAAGGATACTTTGGCACTTAATTGGAAGCATGTTCCACTAGTATCAGTAGAACTAAATGCCAAGAAATGGGGAATAAGTTCTCAGTCACCCTGTATCTAAACCAAGGTAGGCAGGCCATTCAAAACAGGTCCTTGAGCTTCACCAAATTAAATGGGAAAATAAAAAGAAATAACTTGATCTAAAGATGGAGAGCTGTGCTCAAATGTGCTGTTGGAGAAGGAGCGTTGTGACACGTGGAGAGGTTCAAAGGACACGTAAGGACAACAGTCATCCTGAAAGGTATTAGAAACCCACTTCACCGTGGGATTGGAGGAAGTGGTGGAGCACCTCTTTCTCTGCGACTGGATCCACCTAAAGAAAGAGAAAGCAAACCTCACAGTCATATTTTATGACGGATTTATCAAAATCTATATGTGTTCTTTGTTGGATGGAAACAGGTTTGAAAAATTAAGTATATAGGACAGGGGCCCCCGATCCCCGGTCCGTGGACCAGTACTGGGCCATGGCAGTCCACACAAACAAGCAAAGCCCCATCCGCAAGAGGCAGGCAGCACACAAAACCACGCCCCCTCCGGTCCGTGGAAAAACCTCTCTCCACGTAACCGGTCCCTGGTGCCCAAAAGGTTGGGGACCTCTGATATAGGAAGTTCTTTAAAAAGGCATCTTAGTAAGTGGTAAATGGTAAAATTACCGCTTGTGAGTCAGCAATGATAGCATTCTTAGAGAGAGGGCAAGGGAGGGCGGAATTTCCATTGTATTCCAGCATTCAAAATCTGCCCCTTGCTCTAAGTGCACTATGATATTACAAACACATATGAAATGGTGGAGTCTACACCATTGATACTATGACACTTTCACCACTCTGACGAAGAAAACGGAACGCTCTTGCAGATAGCAGTCTTTTCAGGGGACAGGCCCCTTCATGCAACTCCGTACAATGTTCTAAGCCAGGGGTCCCCAACCTACTATCGGGCCTGCTACCTTGGAACCGGCTGCGTGAGTGGCAGGTAAGCACTTGTGCATGCAGCTCCATTTGAGCAAGCGATGAGTGCTCACGCTCATGCGCGATGCTCCATTTGTGCGAAGGGCAGACGTGCATGCCCAACGTTTGCACAAATGGAGCTGTGCCTGCTTGCGTGCACGCCTGCCACTCACACAGAACCATCCTCCCCCCTGGGCTACCAAACCTGAAAGGTTGGGGATCACAGTTCTAAGCTATATAAATATAAAAGCAATCACATTAAAAATAAATTATTTAAAAGTTCAAATTAGTCAACCTATCAAGATTTGGCATGGCAGAATTATGGCACTCTTAAATGCAGCATTATAGTTAACCCCTCCCCACCCCAAAACAGAAAACTAATTTTTACAGAAGAGAAGAAATGTGAAAGGAAAAAAAAATAGTTTTTTATAAGCATTTGATGGCCCAGAACATACTTTGCAGATTCTAACCTTTTAATATTAATCTTTGGTTAAATGACTGTGTTTAAAGTTATATAGAGATAAAGAGAATATTTTTGAAATTAGAATATTTACTTCTATCCTGCCTTTACAATTTTTATAAATAATTCAATGTGGTGAACACACACACTACTCCTTTTTCCTCCCATTTTCCACATAACAACAGCCCTGTGAGGTGGGCTGAGAAAATCACCCAGCCAGCTTTCGTGTGTAAAGCAGGACTAAAATTCGCAGTCTCTTGCCTTCTAGCCTGGTGCTTTGACTGCTAAATACTAAGTTGAGTGCTAGCAACAGTTTTAGATTTGTCTAAAACCTAGTTACTTAAGATTTTATTATTATGCCCTCTGGTGCACATCAGAGGTAAAATGATGCTGAATTAGCGTGAATCACCGCATGAAGAACAGTCATTCTATCTGCTGGCAATTCTGAAGGATGAGCAAAAGTGGAAGAACGTCAGTAAATAGGAATTTCCTATTTGTATCTACTGATTTTCTGCTTGCTTGATCTCTTCTTCGTAGCTAATGGTTTGTGCTTCTCCCTTCTCCAATATCTACAGTAGAAGAAGATCAATAGAGAATCAGCGCAATGTTGTTTCTCCATCTTTGGCTTCTTAACTTGGCACAGGAGGCATCTGCCTTATCAGCAAACAGAAGAGGGTTGAGATAGGTCTAACTGGTACCTATGAATAACCTATGGCAGAGGTTGGCAGCCTGGAGAGAAAGGAAGGGGCAGGTATGGGACCGCATGTGTGATGCAAATGGAGGCGGCGCGAATGTGCATGTGATGCTGGGAGCGGGGCTAGCGCCTGCGCAATACTAAAAATGAGGCTAGCGCCTGTATGATGCTCAGGATAGGGCTAGTGCCCATGCAACACTGGGGCAGGCCTAGCACCGGCACAACGCTCAGGACAGGGCTAGCACCCTCATAATGCTCAAAGCAGGGCTAGCGTGGGGGGGGGAGTGTGAACACACATGTGCGCACACTGGCCAACCATTCACATGGCCCGGTGGCCAAGAGACCATGACCTGGTAGTGGGCCGAGGCCCACAGGTTGGAGACTCCTCACCTATCTATCTGACTAACCTTGCAATCTACCAAACCATACAATTGTATCACTGAAATAACTCACTGGGGAAGAGAGCAGAACCAGAGCCACTCCTGTTGAAATAACTGGTTCTCTTCCCATGATCTTACCAAAAATAATTATATTCAACATTTATGGAGTATCTTCTGAGCATGCAAAACATTTCACATATTTTGAACTCAGAAATAATTCACCAAATACTGTCTACTGTTATAAAGCCTACTTTCTAAAAGGAAAAAAAAGACTTACTTTTATTGTCATTTTTTACCAATTTACTCGGATAACTCTTGTTCATGGGCACATATGGTTCTGGAGGTGGCAAGTCAGACAGAGGATGGAAGGAAAATCTGCTTTCCCACTCATCTAGATACACGTAAAGGAATTGTGTAACATTAGTACATACATAAGGCAAATCATGTTAATACAAATCTCCCTAATAGACTCATTTAAGAGAATTCCATAAAAACAGACGCCTACATTTTAGAAAATATTGGATTGTAAACGTATTATTTGACAGTGTGTATATTCTGTAAACCAATCTTAAATTGGGAATACATCCAAAAGGGAATAGACCTTGTTTAACATAGTTGGGCTTATTTTTCATGAGACTGTCGAGGCTGGCATTATACTTCCAAATACCAGAACATCTTTAGCTTAAACTCACTTTATTTTCCCAACAGAAATACATCCCTTTCATTCAGGATAGGCTGACATCCAGCATGTCTTAAATTCATTAGGTTTTTCCTTAAATTGTCTCATGACTCTACATACCTTTAATTTGTTTCTAACAGGATTTTAATATTATTACAAATAAGTTTAACTCAAAAGAATAAGTACATTCCTCTCACTTCCTCTTTCCATTCTCATTAACTTCACCCACATATATAAAAGCAAGCTGGCACTAGTCATGAAATCGTATAAAAATATTACTAATAACATGCAAGTTTACAACATCTATTTATTCATCAAAACATTTCTAATATCCTTGCAGCAATAATGTTCTATAATATAACTGATCCAGATAGGCAGGCACAGCTTTTCTTATAGTTTTTATTTCTAACAAGATTGATGCATTTAATGAATAAAATACAAGGGGTAATATAAATTCTAAGGTGGTCAAAAATTTGTTTCCTCCATCCCTTGTGTTTGTATTGAAAGGGAACATCCTTTACTTATTGAAAAAAATCAGCCTACTTTGATTATTATATGAACTGAGTGATGGAAAAATGTGATGTGCGATCCTCACATGTGACAGGTATGGAGACGTCTCACCATATAGTTGGAAGAGCTTTCTTGTATTCTGGAAGGAATGCAGAGTTCCTTTCAGAACTCTGTAAGACAGTGGTTCTCAACCTGTGGGTCGGGACCCCATTTGGGGTCGAACGACATTTCACGGGGGTCGTCAAACAACGCAGTCCATTTTTTCCCCCTTTTTCTTAGCTGTGCTACTCCCTTTTATTCTATTGGCTTTTGAAAGCCAATAGAATAGACTCTCTTGAATAGAGTCTAATTCTATTGGCTTTCAAAAGCCAATAGGAATTGTCCAGGCTGTCTCTGCCCTGCTGAGCCCGCCAAAAGTTCCATTCTGCAAACGGTGCTGCACCAGTTGAGTAGTCCTCGACTTACGACCGGTTGAGTAGTCCTCGACTTACGACCGGTTGGGGGTCGCGGCATTAAAAAGGTTGAGAACCACTGCTGCAAGAGAAGAATTTTCCATAAACACCAGGACTCTTGGTAACATGGTGTTGAAAGCAAGAGGGGGAACAAATGATCCCAAATACCATCAGACAGGCCTCTAGGGAACCATTTTGCTTGAGGTTATGGGAGAAGAAGCATAATTAGATCGATGATTAGCTACCATCCCACTCATTATGATTGCTCCTTCTGCTTCTGTCCTCTGGAGATGGCAGAATAAGCAAGAAAACTCCAAGCAAAGGGAAGGTGGCCAGAAGAACAGATGCTGTGCAAATCTGGAGCCTCGTCCAATCTGCTGCTTCTCTCTTGTTTATTCTCAAATTTCACTTCCTTTTTTTGTGTAAATCTAAAGCCAAATAACTGTAGAGTGACTGATTTATGTAGAGCAGGGGTCTTCAACCTTGCCCCTTTTATTACTTGTGGACTTCAACTCCCAGAATTCCTCAGCCAGCTGGCTGAGGAATTCTGGGAGTTGAAGTCCACAAGTCATAAAAGGGCCAAAGTTGAAGACCCCTGATGTAGAGAACTGAGATAGATATATAAATTGGGGTTGAACAACCATAATGAGCAGGATGGTGGGTAATCACTAATCTGTTTATGCTTCTTCTCCCATAAGCTCAAGGCAAGTTGATTCCGCAGAAGCCACAATGATGGCATCGGGATCCTTTGTTTCCTTTCTTGTTTTCTAGGTCTGCAAGAATCCAGCATATATGGAAAATTCTTCTCTTGCTGGGAGGAATGCAGAGTTCCTTCCAGAAGGCAAGAAAGTTCTTCCAATTGTATGGTGAGAGCTCTCCATACCTGTGGAGAGCTATATGTGAGGCTCACAAATCACATTTTTTCTACCAGACCACGGACAAATTGGAAAGTATCCATTCACCATCACAGGATGAATCCTGGAAGCCATTTCGGAGGGCAGACGAGGAAAGGGGTGGAGGAGGGGGTGGTGGTGCTCCAGAACCTGGCCTGTCAGGAGGGGGTGGGGGCACAGCCCCACCTCTGGGTTTTTCAAATCCTCCTCTTGAGGGAAGCTGGGGAGTAGCTGGCAGTGCCCTGGAAGTACTTCCATTCCTGGTTAGTGGAGGCGGAGGTGGAGGAAGAGATCCTGAAAACAATGAGAACAAAGAGTTACTCTACATTTTTGGCAGAGCCAATCACTCTTCTGAAACCTCCAAACAAGCCAGCCCCCTCCCTCCAATTGCCTTATTTTGGGAAACAGACACCCATTTTTTTCTCATAAGCTGTAAGCAAATGCTGTCAGCTCTCTGTGGTAAACCAGACCGGAAACACAACTGGATGAGATCATTCTACTTTATTGTAAGGCTATATCAACAGAATCTTGCAAGCCTTGAGGTACAAACTTCCTTGCCATTTTAAATTGCTTAATCCATTAGGGCGGGTTCTTCCTTAGTTTCTTTCTCCGATCATTAAGTCACTGGGGGGCCCTGCCTCCCTTTCCGATCATTTCCTAGAGAACTCTCCTCATTCCCAAAAGTCATTCACATATTCCATTGTAGTTGTATGTAGAAGGAATACAACATGAATGCTACTAACAAGCAGAGAAAAGGGAAGCACCTGCAATGATGCGTGTCAAAAACAATCACGAGGACAGTTGTGGTAGCTCAACCTCACAATCCTGTTCCTTTTACACACATGCTATGTCAACACACATGCAAAAGGAGTTAGGCTTTGATTGTGCTGCTGCAACAATCTTGAATTTTTTGATGCCCTATTTCTACTTCAAGAGGCTGTCTGGGGCACGGTTAAAGACACTCGACTAGAAACAGAGAGCCTGTGAGTTCAGTCTCACTTTAGGCACAAAGTTAGCTGAGTGACCATGGGCCGGTCATTCTTTCTCAGCCCTAGGAAGCAGGCAAGGGCAAACCACTTCTGAAACCTGCAGGGCCTTGTCCAGGCAGTCACCAAGAGTCAAGACTGATTTGAAGACAGACAGACACACACACACACACACATACAGCCACTGTAGACACTATTCATTCACATGTCCTCCTAATTGTTGATATTATTAATTCAATTTGTATGGCCACCCTTTTAATCTAAGTGACTTTGGGCAGCCATCAAGCTTGAACAAGCTATATGAATTGCACTTCAACAATAAATAGCCCCTTGATGTTAAAAACCCATTTGGTTTAGTGGTTAAGACACCAGGCTACAAAACAGGAGACCATGAGTTCTAATCCCACTTTAACCATAAAAGCCAGCAGGGTGACTATGGGATGGTGACTCTCTCTCAGCTCTACCCACCTCATAGAGTGGCTGTTGTGAGGAAAATAGGAAGAGGAAAGAGTACTGGGCATGTTTGCCACCTTCAGTTATTTATAAAAGAAATATTAAAATAACCTAAAAAAAATTGAATCTAAAAATTAGTGAGTTTGAGACCAATCCCTCTGCTCCATACAGGGATGGAGGATTGCATGATCAGGAAGTCCTGGAGAGCCAAATTTCAGTGTAAATTAGATAGTTCTCCAGTTACAATAGTTTATTTAGTGACCAAAGTTTTTCAAAGTTGAAAAAAGGGAGTTATGACTGTTTCTCACACTTAACACCGTTGCAGCATCCTCATGATCATGTGATCAAATTTCAGACATTAGGCAACTGACTCATATTTATGACGGATGCAGTGTTCCGGGGCAAAGTCAATTTGGAAAGCCAGATTCACTTAACAACTGTGTTACTTAATCAACTGTGCAGTGATTTACTTAACATCGGTGGCAAGAAAGGTCATAAAATGGAGCAAAACTCATCGAACAACTGTCTGGCTTAGGAAAAAAAACTTTGGGCTCAGTTGTGGTTGCAAGTCGAGAACCATCTATTCCAGGTTTCTTTTTATTACCATGCTCATGTGATTATGACAATGTACTTGCTTTGCTTATGTGACTGTGTGACTGATGGAGGGATGTACCCTGTGGAGGCATTGTGGCCTTTCCAATATCACTGACCTAGCATCCTTCCCTATTGGCAGGAACTGCAAAGGAATTACTGTTCAGTGACACAGACTTTTTTTTCCATTTGTACATTTATTTATTTCTATGCAAAACTCTGCCCCAGAATTATACACACATATCTAATTCTGCCTGGGGCAAAGAGGCAGAATTTGAATTCTCGGTTTGAGTAAGCATCCATGAACATCAACTGGTAATCCTAAGACATAACAATTGTGTGTCTTAAATTTAGAATATGTTGACAAGTTCAGCCAGAGTATCAGTTAGAAAACTGTATGTATCCTAGACCAAGCCAAATCCAAACATTCAAGGGAATTCCTAAAGGAGGAATTTTTCCTATAGAAGGCTGAATTTTCCTACAAATCAGCCATAAGCAAACACACTGAGATAAGTTCTGTCTACAATCCATTTCAGAAAGGAAGCAATCAAAATATCAAGGAAAGAGGCAAACAGACTTAAACATTTCCCTCTTCTCACATCTATCAGAAAAGCAAGTACTGGAACTAAATAAAAAAGAACTCAAGGCTGGCACGACAAGATACTACAAATAAACAGCTAGCAAACTACCCTCCATGTTGTTACCTGGCCCAATAACAAAACAGCAAAGAAGAAACTCAGAGAACATTAAGAACTCAACAGTATCCACCCACCTACCCCCCATCCATCCATCCATCCATCCATCCATCCATCCATCCATCCAGGTAGACCAGGCTAGGAATCCAATGTCATATAGATGAGTAGTATTTTTACTGCAAAGCCATAACAACAAATCTAAAATTTGTATAAATTTGCTTCTCCCTTCCTCCCTTTATCTTTGTGAGAACTAGGGAAGGGTTTTGTTAGGTTAAATGTCTTCCCTGGACTCATTCTTTTTTTTATTATCTGACCATGTTCTTGGAGCAGCTTTACCTGTCCCTGTCCCTCTACCCTACACTATTTATGTATGGATATATGTTGAATAACCCTGCATTCAAAATATGGCTTTCCATTTTTGTAGTAACCCACCCTGGGAAGATGCAGATAATCTTACCTGACCTGCTAGGCGGGTCCCTTACAGGAGGTGGTGGTCTCTCAACTGGGGGAGGAAGCGGAGGTCCAGAACGGTTGGAGCCAGGCAGACACGGCGTTTGAGAAGAGCCTAGCGATAGGTTCCTTTGAGGAAGCCGCGGCATCTCATCATTTCCACCGGATGCCGGTGGAAGTGGAGGTGGGCCTGGCCGACTTGGGGGAAGAGGAGGAGGACCCTGAGATACTGCTGGTGGCCGTGGTGTGGAAGGAATTGGTGGCTTGTGGTTTTGGGGCGGGGGAGGTGGTAGGGAAGCCTCCCTGCCAAAAGAGGGCCTGTTTCCAGTTGGAGGTAATGGCGGCGGTGCTTTATCTTCTGTTGGCCTACCTGGTACTGGAGGGAGAGGAGGCCTGTTTGAGAAGGGCGAAGGAGGAGTAACTGGTGATGATTGCCGAATGGATCCTCCGGACCCTGGATTTTTACTACCTGGGAAAGGTGGAGGGGTCAGGCCTAAGCTCACTTGTCTGCTGGCCCCGGGCACAGGGGGTGGACCCCTGCTGTACAGACTGGATGGAATAGGTCTTGGAGTATTTGGCACAGGAGGAGCACTCGTGTCTGGCCTGCAGCCAATGTCAGGTCTTGAGGGAGGCATTCGGTTTCTCTGTGGCTCTGAAGCTGGAGCTCTTAGTCCAGAAGGGCCCGGAAATCTGCCTATTCCACCTGGAGGCGAAAAAGGCTTTGCAGATGTTGCTCGCCCTCCTGGTGGAAACACTGGAGCTTTGTTTCCTGCAGAGTCTAAAAAATAGAAAGCAATTAGTAGGTGCATGTACAGAAGTGTGTAAAGGGGGAAAAGAAATTTTATCTGGAGGATTTTGTATAATCAGTTTGGACCAATAGTAGATGCTTGTCGAAAAGGTGAACAGCCCAAAAGCCATTATGGATGATTGGACTTGTAACATGTCCAACATGTCTGGAAGTTGTCAGGTTGGAAAAGCTGATTTGCAGCCAAGAACGACTAACACAAGCCAGCTGACAGAGAGAAGAAATATATAACTGTTTTTAGGAAGCTTGTAATATATAGGAGTTTTCACTTGATATTTGAACTAGGCTCCATTTATTTCAAGTCATTACCCCGTCTACGTTAATTTCAGTAAGTATAATTAGATCTGCTTTGCAGCTCTTGAAAAGTTCTAGTTCAGTACAATATAAAATGGGAGGGAAGGGCAAAGGCATTTCTTGACTATTCCTGAATTTCTTGAAGGGGAAATTTCTCAAAAAAACTCTGGCATGTTAAGTGCCATGAGATTAAAAGGAAGTTCTATAAAAAGTTGCTTTGACATAAGAGATAATGCTGGCTTTGAACAACTGTCATATCACCACTTGTTGAAAGTGCACTTTAGATATTTTAACAGTGCTACTTCATTCATATGCTTACAAACAAAGAAAGTACAATTCTGCCTTCCTGTAAACTCCCTGGCTTATATTCTCTGGCCAAGAACTGTATTCAAGTGTCAGGAAAATCATAAATCATGCGGTACAATGTATATTGCTTTCTGGAAATTTGTCCACTATTTTATTTTATTTTATTTGCCATCTTGGAATTTTATACTGCTATTATGAAAATCTGTTGGACTTTTAAAAAAGAAAATTGGTGAATAAGCATCTAAACTAACTAAAATAAACCCATCACTCTTCTTCAGGCATACTATTCCAAAGTTTGATACCAGCACAATAAAAACAATTAAATAAAAGACAGCCTAATAGCAGGTTACTATTTCCTGACTGGGTTCACATTTCATACTAAACCATAATTTAACCAATGGGTTCATTGCACATACATTAAGTCATAAATTAAGATTTACACACAACATGCTAAATCCAAATCAAACCAGCATTATGGTTTGGTGTGGTATGCAAATCCAACTAATATACTATATTAATCCATTAAACAAGCCAGTGCAGCCTGGAAAATACACTATTGTAAAGCTGAACTGGTGGATTTTGGGTTGCTGGATAAATTGCACAAGTCACTTCACCAAATTCACAGAATTATTGTGTAGATAAAACAGAAACATCTCATGGCTAGCATCTTGAACTTTGCAAAGCAGGATATAAATTATTGATGAATAAAATAAATAGGCAGACGCAACTGAATGCAATGGAGCAACAAAATACAGTTCTCTAGATAAGGAAGAGGCAGAAAAAAAAAGCAATGGTGAATCCTGAAGATCCTGGTTTAATATCCTTTCCACACAACTGAGTTAAAAAGTACTTTCTATCTACCCTGGAATCAAGCAGAAAACTATACTGGCATAACACAGGCTGTTCCCATTGCCAATCCCTATTCCAACTCTGCCACCTCTATTTCTAGTCACACAATTCCCCTCCCCCCGACAATGGGCAATAAAACCTAACAGATTTCATACAATCTAAAGTTGACTTTGAATAATGTCAGCGCAAATGGTGAGCCTTAACCCCCCCCCCTCCTTTGGACTTATTATGTTAAGACTTAGCTCTCTAGAGTAGGAATGGGTGTGGCATTTGAAGACCTGAAGGACTAGGCTAGGGACAGATTGCCATAGAGGAAGTCTATCTTGCTAAGAGTCAATAATGACTTAATGCCACATAATCAATCATTTAAGTATGTTATGTGTTGGGGGTAGGGAATACTACATAACAGCTATAGATGACTTAAGTTTGCCATTAATGGTTTGGAAATAAAGGGAAAGGTAGCACCATGGGAACCCCGCAGAGAAACAAATGAGGTCAGGGCATATTTGGACTGTGGTTAGGTACAAGTGGGGACATGCCTAAGTCATGAATACTGAGACAACGTTTTTTTTAAAAAGGATTAATGTGCTGTTTCCATACTTCTATGCTTGATAACAAAAAGCAATTGTGCCAAGAACATCTAGGGTGGAGTAAAGGAGCAAGGTTCAGCTTCAGGTGCACAAGATCTATTAACAACTGTATAACTCAATATAGGCATTACAATGGACCAAAAGCGAAGATTCTTGTGGCACTTTGAGACAAACCTGCGGGTTTTTTCGGCTTGGAAAAGGTGTGAGACCCCTTCCTTGTCATGCCTGCAGCACTCAGGAAGTTAACTAAATAGCTTGTATGAGAGAAACCACTGTTCATTTGTGATAGGAGAAGAATGTTTTTGTTTTGAGTTTTTGTCTTCACTGATTTAATAATAGTTAAGTATAGTCAGTCCAAGGTACTGTGTTTCTAGGAATGCACACCTTGTCCTTACCATTATCTCTGTTTGTAGATCTAAGTTTCGGCATCCCTGCCTGAAACAATCCTCCTAAGCCGGGTGGTCCACCGCCACCATAACTATTACCGCTGTTACAGCTGCCACCTCCACCACTGGAGAAACCAGAGCTGCCACCTCCGCCACCGCCTGGCCCTGTGGGTTCTGCAAAGAGAGGAAGTTGAAGGGCTCTTAAGCCATGATTCTGAATCCACAAATAATTTGCTGGCTATTTATATCTGGCTTAAATTCAATAATAACCAGTCTGCCCCTAAACAGAAAATTGCTCTAGATTCTGCCACTGGAGTTTTGATATCGTAACCGTATTAATTAAGACTTTTAATTAGCAGAAGTTTAGTTTAGTGTACAGCAATTACTTTATTTAAGTCTGTGATGCTAACTCACCAAATCAACCTCTCCCCATTTGGTCCTTTGCAGCTGTGTGTTGGACTTCAGTTCTCATAATGTTCAGCTAGTAGTACGATCTTTCATCACGAGCGCTGGAAATCATGTAAACTGAAGTCATGGCTACATACGGATCGTTACGAATAAAATCTCCTCACAGCTTCAGATAAATGTTTGGCATTTCTAGGTAAGAGGAAATCTAAGAAGGGAAACAGAATTCCTTGGATTCTATCTTAGAGTAAATTACCTCTGTAAAAATTAGGAAATTCTGTTTTATGTCAGCTTTAGAGTTATATCTCAGACGTAATTCAAACAAATGAATATGTTTTAAGGATGATAATAATGACAATGGTATTAATAATAATAGAAAAATTCCCATATTTTTACTAGGGCTCTTTGGGATTGAGAAATCCAACATCTTGTGGTCTGCTGGGAGCATTTTCTCCTTTTTATTTACGTGGCTGTTTTTCTACGATATGAACAACTGGGTAATGTACCTGTTTCACTATTAAATGTTTGCATTATGAATATTTAAAATTTAAAGGCTATTTTTTCTTCTTCTTCTTTTAATGAAATTTTTATTCTGTTTATCTCTGGTGAGATTGGTCTGCCCTCTAAGTACAGAGGAATGGTTGAAACCTCCAGTTACACAATTAGAAACTGAGGAGGTTACTATATAAATTATTTTCAAGTATTACCATCTTTGATATTTTAATTGCTAGAAAGGCAAAACAGAGGCTGGTTCTGAGAAAACCGAAAACCCTATTTCTCTCATATATTATTGAAGTGTTCTGAATGCACAGACTGCAGGCCCAGATTCTCATAGAGAGCTATTCTAGGTATCTCTATCCATATCTTGTTGAAGGATAAATGCTTTATTTGTCATTCAGGGCACAATATTTTTGTTCATTTTTAAAACCAAAGCCAAAGCTGCTGAATGTTGAGGCTGAGAAATGAAGGCTTTTACATTGTTCTTCAGAGCTCAGATTACAGTTTGTCATTTTCAAGGAAAAAGGAAATATAAGAAATATCTGATCTGAAGACGATTATATTTCTGAAGGAACAGATCACAAGTTTAAGGTGGAATTAGAACTTCGTTGTTTGTTTCCCTTTGCTTTTTAAATTCCCTGACTATTTTCTTGTTCTGTGTAAATTCTGTAATTTGAGTGTATTTCAGATTTTTATATATATTTCTGCAGGACTAATATTCTCTTTTTAGAGTCTTTAGAGCAGTGGTGGCGAACCTATGGCACGGGTGCCAGAGGCGGCACTCAGAGCCCTCTCTGTGGGCACACATGCCGTTGCCCCAGTCCTAGGCCTTCAGCTGGGTTTTATAAAACCTTTTCGCTTTAGGCCTCCGCTGCCATGTGCAAAAAGAAAAAAAGGTTCAATCAGTCAATTTCAACTTCTCACGGGAAAAAAAAGATCTTGCAAAGTTGGAATTGATTGATTGAACTTTTTAGTCCCACCCAGTCTGCCGTTACCACTGCAGCCACACCCACCCAATTGGCCACGCCCAACCAATTGGCCACACCCAGCCAATGGGCCAGACCCACCCGGCACTCGACCATGCATAAGTAGGTTTTGGGTTGCAGTTTGGGCACTCAGTCTCTAAAAGGTTCGCCATCACTGCTTTAGAGTCTTTGCATAAGAAGTTCCTCTCTAACTTTTTTTTTTTTAATTCATCAATGATTAGGGGAGAGAACACCAGCTGACACATCCCTGGGAGACGATGGTAACAGAGGCAACTACCAAGATACTCTTCCAAAGCAGGAGGCAGAGCCAGGTAGCTCTGGGGGATCTCTGGGAAGGAAAGTTCAAGATCGCCAGCGTTCAGGCTCACAGACTCAGCTTCTCCACTAGAACAGTGTTTCTCAACCTTGGTAACTTTCAGATATGTGGATTTCAACTCCCAGAATTGGTTGGCTGGGGAATTCTGGGAGTTGAAGTCCACACATTTTCAAGCTGCCACGGTTGAGAAACACTGCACTAGAAGGATATACTTACTATCAAAAACTGGGGCGCTCCTATCATTGGTAACAGCCTTCTTCAGCTTTTTCCCTTTGGTAATATCTGACAATAAAGCATTTCGTCCTGCCTGCTCTGTTTTGTTCAAACTGGGCTTCTCTGTGTTTGCCTGCAAAGTAAAAATACAAAATATTAGAACGAGGACAGAAGCACTTAAATCAGAATATATCTTTCTGAAATCAGCTCGTTTTCTTGCATCAGAGCTTCATGATTTCCTATAGAGCTTTATTGTTTGCACATGAATGAAACATTTAGCTGGATCAAATAACAACTCGGTAAGATCTGGATTAAATGGATACAGTAATTCCCAAATTCTGATCGATTTCAACAGTGTTACCTAGCGTACCTACTCTCCATCAGCACAGCCTGGGTTTGGAGAACATACATCACGTTGAAAAACAATTACTAGTATCTTGGACTTTTATTTATTTTAGGAAGAGATCTTTAAAACTATTATCTCTTTCCACAAATCCATGTACTCTTGAATTATATTTACTAATATAAAATAGTACCAATTTAAAACTAAAGAGATATTTGAGTCAAGCTTAACTCTAGAATGACCTCATGCCATTTTTCTTAATAGCAAGTAATACAGAAGAAATTTGGCAAGCCCCATTCCAAAAAATAATGTGTTGAAATCTTTTTATTTTCTTCTGTTTGAATAGCTTACCATCACATAGCAAAATGGTCACTTCAGAATGAATGTTTGGTGTGAGATTTGTCAAACAACGTGTGTGTATGCGTGTGCCTGCACACGCATGTGTATATGAAAAGGGGTATGAAGAGGGGTTGCACCGGTAATTTATTTCAAAAAGAAAAACTGGTAATCATTTGTTGAAAAGAAAAAAGGATGACTATACAGCAGTGGTTCTCAACCTTTTTAATGCCGTGACCCCCAACCGGTCGTAAGTCGAGGACTACTCAACCGGTCGTAAGTCGAGGACTACTCAACTGGTGCTGCACCGTTTGCAGAATGGGACTTTTGGCGGGCTCAGCAGGGCAGAGACAGCCTGGACAATTCCTATTGGCTTTTGAAAGCCAATAGAATTAGACTCTATTCAAGAGAGTCTATTCTATTGGCTTTCAAAAGCCAATAGAATAAAAGGGAGTAGCACAGCTAAGGAAAAGGGGGAAAAAATGGCGGACTGCGTTGTTTGGTGACCCCGGTGAAATGGTCGTTCGACCCCAAATGGGGTCCCGACCCACAGGTTGAGAACCACTGCTATACAGTAAGGATAAAGAAAAAAATGGTATTTAAGGATTCCTTCCAGCAGATACTTTTTAGCATCATAGTTGATAGGGCAGCATCTGTACGGAATGGGACAACTCGCCACAGTCAACTCATTGCAGAACAATTCAACAATTCAATTTAATTGTTTAAAATATTTTACACATTATTTTAATTTTTGTCATTTACATTTCATTTTGTCTCCCCTTTGGCAGCCTTTCTTTAACGATTATATTCCAACATTTCTTTGATATTAGTGTAACGCTTGTTCCACGGCAAGTTGCCGTAGCGAATTGGCCACGAGGAATTGTCCCGTGGCGAGTTGGCTATGGAGAGTTGTCCTAGACCTGCACCTGATGGTGGGATCAATGGCAACGCCAGTGTGGGGATAAGCTAAGCTTGGCACCATCCTTCAACATACTCAGCCTGGGACAATGATTACACACACCAAATGTTTGCCTTTCAGAAGGTTATAGAGAAGTATGTAGATATGAGAAAGTTGCACTGATAACAGTGAAAACATTACAAAAATGAATAGGCTTGAATATTTTGCATAAATATTGTAGATGAATGTAGACTGGTGTAAACTGAATGTTTAACCAATGGCTCAACACTGAGCAGTGTGAAAGACGAGACTGAGATTGTATTATGGCTAAATGTATACTCATGCTCATGGTGATACCTGTGTGAATTGGGAACATGGATATATATCCATTTTATATGGAGACGATGCTGTGTAGGTGATTAAGAACTCAAGTGATTAGCAGCAAATATTAAATTGATCCTATGAAGCAAAGAAGAAATGGTGTGCGTATGTGTGTGTGTGTGTGTGTCTAAAAATGAACGTACTAAAGACCAAACCAGTTATCTTTAACCATAAAAATGGCAAAAGAAAGTCATGTTGGAAATGAATTAATGACATCCTCAAAAAGGGAGAGGTGAGAAAAACAATAGCAAAAGACAATACATGAAGTGGTACAGGGATATGGTGGAAGGAAAGACAGAAATATGTGGAGCGATATAATGAAATGTATTGGTGTAAGCTAGATTTAATTCGATTTTCTTTTTTTTTTAATATCATGCCTTTAAGTTGCTTGGCTTATTATTTCTTACTCTTTTTCTATGCTTTGGTGGATAGTATAATGTTGCTTGTCCAGAATGGGAATACCTCTAGACCAGTGACCCCCAACCTTTTGGGCACTAAGGACTGGTTCCATGGAGAGGTTTTTCTGTGGATCGGAGGGGGCGTGGTTTCATGTGCTGCCTGCATCCCGCGGATGGGACTTTACTTGTTCGAGCACCCTGGTTTCTGGCATGCTGTGGCCGGGTTGGGGACCCCTGCTCTAGACTGATCAGTATTTATGAATGAGAAGCTCAGCTAATTAACTAAGTCTGGAAATTTCTTTTGCTGAAGTAAATGCATGTAGCATAAATGGCAGATATATGGGCCTCTAAAGATACAATTGGTTATAAGAAGGGCAGCTATATAAATGTTATAAACAAACTAACTAATTAACAAGAAAGTAGTAAAAAGTTGAATAAGCCCAGCCCTGTTATTCATCCATCTCTGGATGTCCAGGGACTTAAATTAAAGCAGACATTCAAATTCTAATATAAATAGGTCTATGAGGAAAATATACTTTTAAAAAAATTGCTAATTTGGAAAGACATGTTTGCACAGACTTATTTTCTATAAGCTAACACTTTTAGATTAGTGGATAATCTCATAGGATTTCCTGGCTTTATTTGTAGAGGAGCAAAATTGTTGATTACAATAGTTTTTATTAAAACCACTTGATTTTTCATCTGCCAGTTCAAACAGCTGCATAGCTATTTCCAATTTTACAAACTTGCAACCTCTGTTTAAAATCTGCTGCGTGCTGCTAGAAAAATCTAAACTATATTTTCTTAACAGAAATACCAACCTATAATAAAGTTTAATGAAAATATTTGCAAGAGTAAGATGAAACAGCTTAAATTTTCTCAACTGTCTTAAAAGCTGACTCGTGTTTGTTCAAAATTTAAGTAAAGAAGTATATTTTACCCCCTACCACAATCTCCCATCCTCAGCGTAAATCTTGCACAACGTTCTCGCCCTTTGTTATTGTTAAAGTTATTCTATAATAACTTTGTTATTATAGAATTTAAATTTCTATAATATTTACATGATAGCAGTGTTCCAGTATCTCAGACGCTGCCACAACGAAGAGGGAATCAAGCTATTCTCCAAAGCACCTGAAGGCAGCACAAGAAGCAACGGATAGGAACTAATCAAGGAGAGAACCAACCTAGAACTAAGGAGAAATTTCCTGACAGAACAATTAATCAATAGAACAACTTGCCCCCAAAAGTTGTGGACGCTCCAACACTGGAAGTTTTTGAAATTGAACAACCATTTGTTCGAAATGACATAGGAGAGTGACGGCGAACCTTTTAGAGACCGAGTGCCCAAACTGCAACCCCAAACCCACTTATGTATCATCGGGTGCCGGGTGGGCGTGGCCCATTGGGTGAGCGTGGCTGCGGTGGTAACGGCAGACTGAGTGGAACTAAAAAGTTCAATCAATCAATTCCAACTTTGCGAGATCTTTTTTTTCCTGCGGGAAGTTGAAATTGATTTTTTTTTTTGCACATGGCGGCGGAGGCCTAAAGCGAACAGGTTTTATAAAACCCAGCTGAAAGCCTAGGACTGGGGCAATGGGGCACATGCCCACAGAGAGGGCTCTGCGTGCCACCTATGGCACGCGTGCCATAGATTCGCCACCACGGTTATAGGACCTCTTGTCTGTTCAGGGGGTTTAACTAAAAAGCTTCCAAGGTCCTTTCCAACTCTATCATTCTGTTATTCAGTTATATTAAATTGAAAATGAAGATTAGACAGAAAAGCTCTCCTCTGCCTCATTTACTATATTCTCGGTGAACATAAGAACCCTGCCATTTTAAATTATTTGGGGGGAAAACTTGTATTCTGTTCAGATGTGTACACCGCTGAACTTCTTTTCAGTACTTTGTAGGCATTAAAATAATGTGAAGAGTAGGAAGTGAAAAGTTTTAAAATTGGAACTTGGGTCTATTCAGATTCATTAATATTTAAACTGAAATCTGGGTTATACTCTGAAGTTTTCTGTTTCTTATTAATCATAATGGGTTATTTAAATTAGAGGACTATAATGAATGCTTAATGTCCAGACCTTAAACCATGATTATAGGCATATTTCATTAAATATAATGGTTTATTTAAATTGGGAGACTATGATGAAAGCTTAATGTCCAGACTATAAATCACGATCAGAGGCATGTTTCTGATTCTGATCTGGAGGGCAAAATATTAGGGATAATTTTGTGACTTACAAATGGTTGTCTAGGTTCATATGTCATAATAAGTTGTTATGTTGGATTTGCAAACATAGTGCCTCAACACATCAATCTGCCCATGGATACCTGCCTCGCTAGATGCAAATAAGGTGTCCCTTGGCTAATGACCGTAACTGAGATTGTGAAGTTCATCACAAAGTGATGCAGACATAAAGTACAACATCACATGACCATGCTGACTTAAAACAATTCCAGTTGTGATCATTAAGCATGACATCAAGTAGTTGCCATTTGGGTCCTCCTGACAGCTTTCTTAGTGACTTTGCTTGCAGGAAGCTAGCAATGAATGTCACAAATTGTGACTACGTGATTGTGGGTGCCATGACTGTTGTAAATGTGAGCCAGTTGCCACCCAAATTGAATTCCTAATTTTGAGAAGTCATAAATCTTAATAAGTCATTGATGGTAAGTCTCCTTATTCAGTACTATTGTAAGTTTGAACAGTCTCTGAACAAATGGTTATTAATCATGTACTCACCGTACATTACAGTGCCTCAAAAGCAAATAGGTGCTTCAGAACTTTCAGGAGTGTGTACAGAGTACCTTTCTGCAACTCCTAAATCAAAAATGGCTTTTCTCAGGATTATGCTGCCACTATAGAAGTACCCACCCCATCCTACCATTATTTATTTTATTTTTTTTTTTTATTTTATTTTTAAAATTTATAAGCCGCCCCACTCCCGAAGGACTCTGGGCGGCTAACAATAAAAAACACATAAAACATAACAAAACAACAATACAAAAACAATCATCCAGGGGTCAGGTTTTATAAACCCCAGGCCTGCTGGAAAAGCCAGGTCTTAAGTAGCTTACGGAAGACCAACAGGGTGGGAGCGGTCCTAATCTCCGGGGGGAGCTGATTCCAAAGCGTGGGCGCCATCACAGAGAAGGCCCTCCTCCGCGGCCCCGCCAAATGGCACTGCTTGGCCAACGGGGCCTGAAGGAGGCCCAGCCTGTGGGATCTAACCGGACATAGGGAACTATGAGGTAGTAGGTGGTCTCGCAAATAGCCTGGCCCTGAGCCATATAGGGCTTTAAAGGTAATGACCAACACCTTGAATTGGACCCAGAGACCAATAGGCAACCAGTGCAGCTCACGGAGGATAGGTGTAACATGGGTGTATCGAGGAGCACCCACTATCACTCGCGCGGCTGCATTCTGGACCAACTGTAGTCTCTGAATACTTTTCAAGGGTAGCCCCATGTAGAGTGCGTTGCAGTAGTCCAAACCTGAGGTGACAAGGGCGTGACTGTAAGGAGAGCCTCCCGGTCCAGTTAGGGTTATATATAGTAAGGTTATATAGTAGGGTTATATATAGTAAGTAGCATCCTATGGTAGAAGGGAGATAGGAGTGTCAAGTTGCATTTGCTAATTTACTACTACTGTGCCATTGATTACATGCCCTGGTATTGCCTATTTTGTAAATCAGTAATCCTTCCCCTTAGCAACCGTTTACCTGCTCTGAAGATTTTAAACATGCCCACCAGACAGAAAAGGTTATGGACTGAGTACATTCTACAAACCTAGCCGATTGCTTAATAAGTTCAGCAAAACATGCTTAAAGCAAATCATAGTTTCTTGTTTTACAGATAAACAGATTAATGAGAATGGAGAAGCTGTCGGTGAATTTGGTGAACATCTCCGCTCCTCCAAAACATGCTCTAGAAGTTTAGCAGGTACTTTAAACACAGGTTCAGAGAGACTTACTACAGAGATGCTGAATCAAAATCTATCTCTATGGGAAACATTGAGTGGGTCCCAGTTCCATATCTCCATTTGCATAGATGCTTCTTTGTTAGCTTCCATAAATGTAGCATGATTTTAACTAACTTGGAGTAGTCGTGGATATTTTTGATCCTTTCCCAAAACAAATGCCAGTTGAGTGCCTTTCATATACATGCATCCTGTATATGATTTATTTTAATCATTACATGGCTGAGCATGTCTGCTTAGTCAGGATTTTTTCCCAATAAAGCTTTGTTGAAGAAGCTTAGTAGCTTGGTTTGCATAACACATTAAATCCAAACATAACAAAACATACCATGTCTTCATGTATGTACCAGGTTAGGAGTCACCGAAGGTCTACATCATAGTAGTATGATCTTTTTTTAATTGTATTTTTATCAGTATATCCTGATACATAAAACCACAATAGAAGACCTAGCTAAGTTCAACAACAACCTCCCTGAGAATAGCTGGGCTGAGAGAGTGAGAGAGAGAGAAAGCACATCTATCCCAAAGTCGCCAAATCAGCTTCGATGGAAACTTCCCTGGTCCCTGCTTCCAAACGTGAACCACAATCCCACACTGTCTCACCGTATGTCACGACAACTCAAGACAGCAAACCTTTTTGGCTAGACTGGGATCCCAAAAGGCACCTGGCATGTATGATAGTTTAAAACCTTAATAGAGTTATTTTATTTATCTTAGCAAGTTTTTAGAACATACCTCCCCCAAAAGAACAAAACCCCAAAAAGGGAACTACCGTATTTTCCGGCGTATAAGACGACCCCCGACTTCGGCGCTGAGTTGCATGCCTAGAAAGTCATCTTATACGTCGGAAACTACCGTAATTTCCGGCGTATAAGACGACTCAGCGTATAAGACGACCCCCAACTTCGGCGCCGATTTCAACGCTTTAGAAAGTCATCTTATACGCCGGAAAGTACGGTATATGAAAAACAACAAGCAATCACCTGAACAAACAACAACAAAACCAACAAAAAGAATAACTCTCTATTATCGCTCTACCACCCACCCACCCACCCACCCACCCACCCACCCACCCACCCACCCACCCACCCACCTATCTATCTATCTATCTATCTATCTATCTATCTATCTATCTATCTATCTATCTATCTTCTAGCCTAAACATGCTTTATATTCACAGGACAAGCTAGGACAGGGGTTCTCAGAATTCCTCTGGGAGTTGAAGTCCACAAGTCTTAAAGTTGCCAAGGTTGAGAACCCCTGAGCTAGGATGATCAAGCTTGTCTCTCTCTTCCACTGAAATTTGATTATTAATTTAAAATTGCAACTTACCTGTGGAAATGTTGGGGGAGGTGGCGGAGCTGGAGGAGGCGGAACTGGCATCTTCTAGACGTCAATCTCACCTTTGTTGCAACGAAACCTATTGGGGAAAAAACAAATAACCTATATGGTTACAAATGGAGACATATTTGGCCTAGTAGTGGTTAAAGCACCAGGCTAGAAAGCAGGCGAGTGTGAGTTCTAGTCCCACCTTAAGTATGAGATCCGGCTGGGCGACCTTGCGCCAGTCACTCTCTCTCAGCCCAGCCCATTTCACAGGGTTGTTGTGGGAAACATAGGAGGAGGAAGGAGTATCAGGTATGTTTTCCACCTTGTGTTATTCGTAAAAATAATAAAGCTGGGATAAAGATCAATCAATCAATAAAATGTTACTGATGGGCAACTATTACAACCTCCCCCCTTTCTCCATTATAATTTATAATAAACTTGTGGTTTTAGAGAGGAAAAGATCTGGCTTGACTAAAAATCCAGTCAATCTATTTTGGTTTTTAACTCAAAGAAATAGGATGTTATGGAACAGAGAAAGTAAGATAAGATAAAGGCACAGTCATCTTTGCATATCTGTGTTTCAAGGAGCAAGTTTCTAGGTTATCTGTCCTATTTGTAAGGTGACCAACCGTCCTCCTTTAGGGAGGACAGTCCTCCTTTTGTAAGTTCTGTCCTCCCTCGAAAAGTGTCCTCCTACATGTCCTCCTTTTTGATATTTGAAGACTAATCTGCAGGGCTTTTTTTCCTCACAGAACCCTCAGAATGGCATTCCGGCACCTTTTTTTTTGATTTTTTTTTTCAACTTTTGCATGAGCTGTGCTACTCCTGCTATTGGCTTTCGAAAGCCAATAGGAATTGCTGCTGAGCGCGCCAAAACACTCGGCTGGCAAACTTTGCACATGCAAGTTGTCTGTATTATTGTTGCAATGAATAAAATGTTTCTTTTATTTACAATATTTTTTTCTTCAATTTATTTGTGTCCTCCTTTTCATTGTAAAAAAGTTGGTCACCTTACTATTTGGACCAAGTTATCTACTATGGCATTGCCAGGGGAGAGATCTAGATTAAACAAATCTCCATTTAGCTATGATGCTAGTGAAGGTCAGTCTCAAATTCTCAGTCTAATCTACTTTACAAGTTTGCCATAAAAGATAAAATTCAGAGAAGGGAAGGATGAACAATGATGAGTTGCTTGGGGGAAGGAAAAGATAAGAACAGTCCAAAACACCTACGTGCTATAGAACCAAGGAAGTAAACCAAAACCAACAAGCTTAAAGGCAATTTTATCCTTTTTATTATTCCACCACCAGTATGCTTAAGAAATGGATGACCTAACTTTCAGCACTAACAGCTAGAATTACTTACCATTAAAAGAAAAGGGCACCTCAGAAATGTAAAAGCTTTAGAAAGGAATGAGCTTTTGGATTGAAGACCCATGAGAATTCATATTCAGTCTTTCATAATAATGTCTTAATGGTGGCGTGTTTTTTGTAATTATTGTTTTACTGCACTCACTGTTTTGTGAGATAGGCAGCATATAAATAATGTTCAAAAAAATTCAGATGTGTACTCTTGGGAAATGGATGGAAAATATATATGCATTAAATATTTCCAACACTGAATATTTAGAGACAGCCAGGCTATAGTTTATTCCCATCTCTTCCAAAAAAATATTGTAAGTCGCAAAGAGAAAGTAAATTTGATCTACATCAGGGGTCTCCAAACTTGGCCCTTTTATGACTTCTGTACTTCAACTTCCAGAATTCCTCAGCCAAGGGCCAAGTTTGAAAACCCCTGATCTACATCTTGAAAAGTAGAAGTTTGGTGTGTGGGAGGGTTGTAAATAAAATATGGTCCAGATCAGTGTTTCTGAACCTCAGCAACTTTAAGATTTGTGAACTTCAATTCCCAGAATTCTCCATGCTAGCTGGGGAATTCTGGGAGTTGAAGTCCACACATCTTAAAGATGCTGAGGATCAGACACACTGATCTAGGTAATATCAAGCAGATCATCCTATTCTTTGGAGACTAGCCAAAAGGAACAAGTAAACAAGACTTTCAGTACAACACCAGGGTCTTTTGAACTGTTATTGGGAAGGGGTGGTTAAGGGAAAGAAAAGAATCATTTCTCTTGGCTGCATCTTGCAGCTGCTCTATACATTATTCTTATGTCTAATAGCAGCATGGAGGAGTTTTCAGATTGCAAAAAAGTACTTCTCTGAAAGGAAATGAATGATGGTGTTGGTGAGGAATGCCATATATCAACCCTGTCGTTCTATTACTAAGATTTAATCAGCGATTTGATCAATACAAAATGTAATATCTAACTCGGATCTGTTCCATATTATCTCTTTCCTAAAGACAATCAACCTAAAAGCTTGATTTACAATATTACAGTGGTTTGCTCTGCAGTCACATTTTTCTCATTCTTACACTAAAACTTTAACAACCCTTCCATCAATTACCGGTAGTATCAGCCAAAGATTTCAGTATTTTAGCATTATACATTTTGCTATCAATCTTCCCTGTAGAAAAAGTTTTTTCTGCAACCATTTTATGCCTAAATGTAAAACTGCAAATCTAAAGTTAAATCTGTTTCACTTCCTGTTAATAGAAAAAATAGTCCCTGCAGCAAACCACAATTTTCTTATTTAACTACAAGTTTCAGGGTGTTTTTTCCATAGCTGCAATGGTTTGTTGAATTCATATCCTACAGCCAATAAATCCTGAAAAAATATTTATAGCCACTTAAATGTAAGTATTTTTTGTTATACTGAGGTGGTAGCGGTTTACATAAATGCAGTAACTAGAAGCATATCAGACTGATTATGCTTAGAATTCCTAAGAGGATTAGACAAACCACATTTAATTTTCTTAAGATGCATTTTAAGTGCATAAAGCATTTTAATGTATCTTTAAAATTCATCATGTACCAGTAACTTTGAGTACAATCTTCTATAAACCATCCAAATGTTCATTTAGCATTTTGTTTAAATGTAGAAGGTATTTTGAAAACAGAAATGGTATTAAACATAATATAATTTCTGTTGACCAAACATCCTGATCTCCCTGGCTTTGACATGTTCTATTTCTCAAATCAGACAATTTATATAAATTATGTCATTAGGTTTAGTTTATTATATGTCACTTATGTAATTACATAATGATGTAAATGTCAATTGATTCAAATAATATACATTCATATTTAACAAACATCCCTTCCCTCAAATAGCCTGCTACTGTATATAAAATTTCACTGTATTGTTTTTAGACAGCAATACACTGAAAATGTGTGTGTGTGTGGGGGGGGAATTACAGTCTTTGTCTCTAAAGCTTCTTTTCCTTTCTTGGGTCTTTGGTTGTTGTAACAACACTGGCAGCAATCTTTAGATATGTAGCATAATTAAAAACACACAATTTTAAAATAAAAGAATACAATATAATCTGCAGCGCATGCCTTATTAAAAAAAAAAAAGCTCTCATACCTCTAAAACCCTTTCAACCACATAGGCCCAAGACCTGTCACAACAGAAATGCAACCTCAGACTTCTATGAAAAATTAGTAAAACAAAAACTAAAGGTAATTTGGTCATTAGGCGAAGCAATTATTAAGTGAAACCATAATGTGCTTATGATATTACTTCAGCTTTCCTTTGCTTTACAGACCAGACCTGAAAAGGTCATAATTGCAAAGATTAATTGTAAAGTTACTTTTTTACATCACCGCTGTAATTGCAAATGATCATTAAACAAGGCAGTTGTTAAACAAGAACTACTTGTATAGGCAGTTTTACAGGTGCCCATAAGATCAGCAATGATGTTGTTCTGAAAATGTTGAATGGCAGCTTAATTATTTAAGACCAAACTTTTCAAATCCTCTGAGTTAGGCTAGTTGGATGGCCAACACTCAGATGCCCAAGAGATGACAGCAAAGATTACTCAAACAATTCTTAACTCTGTCACCATTAAAGATTGTATGCATTTTGAAGTAAGGTAAGGTAGTTTACAAACATCTTTCTTTCTAACATACTTATAAATCCCTTTGCAACCAGGACAAGGATCTCTGACCCAGAATTACAGAGTGTGTGGATGACAGGCACCCAATAGGTTATTTTAAACCAGTCACTTAAAAAAAAAGAAGCTTAAATTTAGACAAAAGACAGAAGTGGAGAACTCACTGCAGTTATTCATTTCCTGAATGATTAGACTCTAAATAGAAAAAGAGGAATATTGGCAAGGATAATAGAAGATTTGGAAGGGGGAAGAGGAGAAATGGGATTGAATCAGTAGTTTAAGACTTAGCATTCTCCTAAAGGCTCTGTTTTTTTGGTCCTAGGTATAATAAATTGAAAAGCAAATTTGCTCAAGTGAAGCTGAACAGTATTCAAATATTCATACTCAGAAGGGGCGTTGGTCTTACCTGAACGCCTTTTCTCAGTACGGAGATGGATAATCCATGGATGGGTTTTCTCTGTCTGCCTGCTCTTGAGACCAAGTAGCCAAAGCTTGACACGCCCCCACTTCCTGTGGAGTCCATTCTTAACGAGGGCGAATTGGCTGATGATTGACGAGGTATTGGCTCTCAGCTCCCTACTAGCGGCCTGCTGGCCTTGGGGTGGGTGTGGATTATCCATCTCCGTACTGAGAAAAGGCGTTCAGGTAAGGCCAACGCCCCTTCTCCAGTACAGGAGATGGATAATCCATGGATGGGACGTACCAAAGCCTCACTGTCCCAAGGGGTAGGAAACAGATAAGGCCGGTAGATTGATCTCTGAGACAACTTGCTGGAGGACCCTCCTACCAAAGGAGGCATCCGCCGATGCGAAGCGGTCTATCTTGTAGTGTCGTATAAACGGGGAAGGCGAGGACCATGTCGCGGCCCTGCAAACTTCCTCGATTGACGCCTGGGTAGCCCATGCCGCCGAAGTTGCAGCGCTTCGGGTGGAATGGGCTGTGAGATGACTTGGGGGCGGCAGGGATGATACATTGTAAGCTTCTGCGATACAGCTTCGGATCCACCTTCCAATGGTGCCCGCGGAAACTTTCCGCCCCAAGGTGCCCGCTTGGAAGGACACAAATAGGGCCTCCGAT